GCAAGACTTGTGTTTCATTGGAAATTGTATCAACACGTTAATCAGAGAAGTCAAAGATCATGGTTGGTTTTAAGTAAAGGAATAAGCAGAAAATGAATTGGCATTGCAACCTCACATGTAACAATAAGATTATGTATTTGAACCACCTTTGCCTAATACTGAACCAATCAGACCATCTTTACTTACGTAATTATCCAAGGATTGTTGGTTCAGCAAGTACAAGGATATGGATTTGTTGGCCAACATTATGGCGTATATTGTTTAATCATTAATGGTGGAATAAAAATGGAATAGTTTAATTGGAATATCAAGACAATTTTGCAATTTGACCACTCATTACTATTCTTAATATATTTTACCATTTACAATTCATGCCTAAACTATTCTATTCAAAGAAGCCTAAAATAAAACATAGCTCAAACAGGAGGAACTTAATGCAAGAACGCAAGCATTCTAAGTTTGGGAATAAACAAAGAAGAAGAAGACTAGATCATCATTATTAACTCAAGAAATACCTTAAGAAGAATAAGATTATCGTGCAGATAAAGAAATACTGTTGTAGTAAATTCATTTGTTACAATAAAAACAAGATTTCATTGAGAATTAGTTAAAAGTTAGTGAAAAACTAATTTAAGAAATAAATAGGGATGCTAATTAAGCATTAGAAAACCTAAAGCAAGCAAGAAAACTATATGAAAAATTTGCTATAGATGATGAATTGTTAAGTAAGGAAAGTATACAATTAGAATTCAATTCTGAATAATATTTATTGAAATAGACTACATTGGATAAGAAGCAATTGTAATTGATGGATCAAACTTTGAAATAAAAGAAGAAGAATCACAAATAGTTTGGTATGTAAGTCATCTCAAAATATAAACTGACATGCGAGTTATTGCATAAAAGACAAGAGAAATTTGCATAGGCTTTGGCTTTGAAGGAATTGGGTTCATTGAATTTTGCAATGTAGAATTATGCTTAGGCTGAAGAATCTTGGAGTGAGAGTTTGGATACAATATTCCAAAGAATCTTTGTATTGAAAAGCAGTGCATTCAGACAGATAATATAGGAGTGCAACAAAAATAATTAATTGCTTGCATAAACTTATGGCATTTAATAATGTTTAATTGGAGTTACATTGTGTTCTATTCTGGCCTATAATTGCTACTATTCTAATTGCCATCAATAGAGAGAGAGTGCAATTCTGGCATCTGAATTGGTGTCTTCAGTATTAAAATTACAAATGATTAATGGGCTGGATTGGCAAGCATTTATTCATTCAAAGGAAGTTGCAATTGGAAATATCTTTAATGATAGATATGTCTTGGATCCAGCTGAATTGGCATTGTCTTGCGAAAGATGTGCTTGGTTATTATTGGATAGAGATGAAGCTCTAAGGGCTGTTCCTCTAATTAATCTACTTGGTGAATTAAGCAATAGATTATAAAGCAATTTCTATTCAGTTCGTGCTAAATTGTTAAGATCAATTGCCTTGTCTTCGATTGGATATATCAATTAAGCTTATTAAGCTTTATTATAAATTGCAAGTGAGAAGGATCTACCAGATTAATCTACTTCGCTTTGGCAGTCTAGAGTTTCTGGAAAATGGTGGTATTCAAATCTAGAATGGAATAATTCAATACCTCCTTACGATGAGAAACACACTTAATTAACGGAAAAAATACTGAAAGAATTGGAATTAACAAGAGAATTTGGTTTGAAATATGGTTTGTAGAATGAGAACATATTCAATTATGCAGTTGCACTTTTAGTCTATAATATTCATTCTGGAGACATTATTGAGAAATGGGAAATTAATGATTTAAGGTGTAAGTTCTTAATAAAAGTTGAAACAATATTGAGAAACACTTTGAATAAGTTGAATTAGGAAGAATAAATCGAACAAAGAATATTGACTAAACCTAAGGAGGAAATCTTAGCTGATCCAAAAATGGAAGATTATTATCATTTGTAAGGAACATCCAAATAAGTTGGAGTAACAAATAATTAGGAAGCTTTGACGTACTTATAAAAAAGAGAAGAGCGAATGTATATGATGGCAAGATCCAGGAATTTGATGGCAAAAGTCAATGTCAGTATGGGATAAATTACAAGAGCATTGTACATATTCAAATATGCTATTGAAAATTTGTAAACATACACACTTGAATTATCCACCAATGAAAATGGTGAGGAATTGGAAAATTTACCATGGGATCAATTAAAACCTTAAGGAGTAGTCGAGGATAAGAAAGGAGCTAAGAAAGCACCTGAAAAGAAAGGAAAAGAAGGAAAAGAATCCAAAGATAAACCTCTTGCAGATGAAGTACCAGCTGTGAAAACGGATGCATAACTAAAATTAGAAGAAACTATCTTACAAATTGTTGAAGCCAGAAAAACTAGACATTCATTAAACATCTATTATTGGATTAAATTAAGAACTGAATTGACATTGTTATTATACAGACATAATAGACACGAGGAAGCTTTGGAGTTAATGGAAGCCTTGATGAATGATTGCAAACAATTTAATGACAATTATCATTAAAGATTAATCATAGAATATCAAGCAAGAATTCAATTTAAGAAGGGAAAATCAACTGAATCAATTAAGAAGTTTAAGGAGGCAATTGAAATTGGGTAAAAGAATTTCCATTAAGATCCTCAAATGATAGTCTTATATGGTGATCTTGGGGAAATCTATTATGAAAAAAATGAATTATAAGAAGCCAAACAATAATTCTATGATGCTTATTAGATGGCTGAATAATTAATGTAGATGATCAATTATGGATATGGGGTAGTACCTAATTGGAATCAGAAATGCGGACAAGAGAAGATTTAGATTTGTTAAGACTTATGTGTTCCTTTGGAAATAGAATAAGAAATATTAAAAAAGACTGATAAATAAATCAAGACAACTAAGAAGGATGAAAAGAAAAAGGATGATGGTAAATTTGTTAGAAAAGGAGCTGATAAACAAACAAAAAAAGAAAATATTGATAAACCTCAAATGCCAATAAAGGGATTAAATTAATTACCTAATTTTAATTTCATTCAACCAACCAAGCTCACTTATACAACAGTGGATATTGATACAATCAATAATACATAATATCAATATAATTGCTATTTAAAGAACATTGAATTATGGTAGAGAGCATCATTAAGATATGTTGACATCATGATTACATTGAATCAAGCCAATGAAAATTCAACTATATCAATAGATTCTCAAGAATCATCACTGGCTTCAGATTCAGAAAGCGATAAGTCTTCAGTTAAAGACATTTTTGATATTAATGTAATTAGTGAGATCGTTAATAAAATAGATACTTCAATTAGTAAAAGTATTAATGTACCCATAAGTTTCAGATTAGAACTGTATTACTAATAAAGCAAGATCTTCAAAATGAGATTTGTGTAATTATTATTAAACTTGCAACAAAAGTACTTTATGAAATATTTGTCGGGTAAAAATAAGAAATATGCTGATTTCTATGAAAAAAGACCTCATAGGGATTTAGTAAGGAATAAATACTTTTTACTTATTCCTCCTTTCTGTTAATTACTTAAAGAATAGGGACTATAATATTTAATGTAGGCAAAGGAAAGCTTATCGAAGGCTATAAGTGTAATCAGAGGAGAAGCTGTTTTATTCGAATACAATAGAAAACCAGAAGACATCTTGGTTGCCATGGCTGAGATTTGTCTATTCATTAGAGAATATAGAGTAAGATAAGGATACAGATATGTGAAGGTTGACTATTTGCAATCCTTAATTAATTCTAAGAGTAATATTAATTATTTATATTTTAGATACTGAACAAAATAAAATAGATTTGGAATAATAATTAATTAGCATGGAAAGATCAGATAGGTTGGAATAACTAAATCTAGAATTAGAAGCACAAAGCTATCTCAAATATGCAATCGAATTAGTTAAAGCAAGACAAGAATTATTGGAGAACTTTGCTGCAGTTGCACTTACACCATTACCTGATGTCAATAAACTGGCACTTGAAATTTATACTGAGATAATCGAATAAGACTATTAATATAAGAAAAAGTACAATCCAATGTTATTTGATGAATCCAAGAAAAAATTTGGTGTTTCTTCCATGGATGTGCTTTAGTTCATTTAAAAAGTGTGGAGAGAGGCAAAAGTAATGACTTTTAGTGGAGCATATTTACAAAGAATGATTTCAAAAACACATCGTTTCTTAAAGTTACACATGTAATCATATCAAAAATGTTTGATCACTTCGTTAGAAGTAGCCCCAAAAAATGATGTGAATGCTGTGTTTATTGATGAAGGCACAATTGTTACTAAATTATTATACAATCCAGTTGCTCATGAATTTAAGATTCTTTATGTTTTGGGTGGATTAAACAAAGAAAAAATTATTACTTCATTATCCAAAGAAGAAAAGGATAAATTGATTATTTCAGATGAAAAAAACGTATTGTATGGAAACATTTATATTACTGATGCCAATGTGTCTATGCTTTTGTAGGATGCACTCAATTTATAATCCAAAATGAAGGAATCAGATTAGCAGTCATAAAAGATGAAAGAAAGAGATTACAAACATCATAAAAAGGCATTTTATAAACTAATTGAATAAATTGGATTCTATTTCTTCTAAAAACCAAGTATAATAAATATCAATATTTAGGCACAATCTAAATGTAAAATGGTTAAGCGACTGAAACAGTTAAAAAGAGTGTAGCATTCAAAAAATCAGAATCGTTTATGCAAGAATAAAATGAACCAGATATTCTGGCCAAGTATGAAACAATAGTACCAGAATTAACTCATGAAAATATCGCCATTTTAATCAATCTATTTAATGATTAAGGAGTATTGTCAATTAATCACAACTATTTAGCAATTTTAAGATATTTCCATCATTAGAAATATAAATGAGATTATAAATACATTTAAATTAATATTAATATTAATTATGTTAGAATTAATAAAATAATAGAATTTTACTATGGAGAATTTATTCCTACAACAGAAATGTCTCTAACATGATCAGGATTATTTAGCTGTTCAAATTGGTATAGAAAACAAATATTTTTGTCCTTAATGTTTAATCGACCTTGTAACTACTAAAGATTTGATATTAATAAGCTATGCTAAGTAGTAAATTCAGAATAAAAAAAAATAATTATCCAAAACAATTTAGGATGAATGCTAACAAAAAATAAGTTTAATAAAAAATCTGAAAGACAATATAGAGGAATTACAATTTCCTTTAAAATAGATCTTTACATAAATCACAGGAGAAATTGAGGAATTAGAGAAGGCAACCTATAATAAACTGTAATCAAGTTAAATAATTAATTCTGAAACTGAATCTGAAAGCCTAAATTAAGAATTAAAATTATTAATTGATGAAGAGAGTGGTTTATCAACATAAGAAGATAACGATGATTAATTGAAGAAATAAATACTCCTTTAAATAAAATTCTCTTTTTATTAAACAAGACTGAATGAAATTCTCCATTAATTTGATAAAATCTCAAATTTACATTATAACGGTTCAAATAGTTCTTCGCTTTAAGACAAGGTAATTATTGATATAATATAGAAAACAATATCTTAAAATTGTAAAATTCATAATGAATAAATTAAAATGCTTTTAATTGATGAAAAAAATTAAGTTTCAAAATTTTCTTGTGTTGAATGTATTTCAGAAACATAAGGAAAATACATATCACCTACGCAGTTAAAGTAATCTTTTGATAATTACTAATTATAATAAGAAAAGTCACTAAAACAGTTTTAATTATTAAAGATGGAATCGAAAAATAAAAAAATTGCTTTTTTAAATTAAATACGTGATATGTACATTTAAAATATAAACTTATACATTAAATAATTAGATGAGAATGAAAAGTCTTTCGAAAAGATTATTGAGACAACTTTATAATTTAAGGATTAAAATATATTATAAATAGAACAAGATTAATCATTAAAATTATTAGAACCTGTTTATTTGAATTAGAGTCCAAATCATTTTTTTTAAATAATTGAAAGATAATTAGAATAAGATAAAAAATTAACTTTGAAGTAAGAATAAAGTATGGAAGAATTGAATAAATTTGTTATCCAAAATTCTAACTAAATCTATACTGAGTGTTTAGAGCATGAGATCTTATTGAAGAAACTGGTAAAACAAATCGAAGAATAAAAACTAAATCAAGATAATAACCTAAATTAAGATGAACCTATAATTGATAAAGGAATTCTTATTTTAGAAAACGAAACAAATAGTTTTCTCTCCAAAAAAATTAAACTATGCATACTGTATGAGTAATATTAAAAACAATTTGAGAATCGTAATCAATTATGGTCTGAATAAGCCAAATTAATTTAGAAAATAACTGAAGAATAAGAGAAAACGCAAGTACAAGAAATACGTGATGAACAAGGAAAAGAAATGATATAAATGAATTTAGAAAAGAAAAATATATGCTTAGAAAGATTAAAGATGAAGATAAATTCAATCTCTTTTTGCAATGAAATATAAAAGGATGTTTCTGTTTTGACCAATGAAACGAAAGAAACAATTCAGAAGGAAGTAAATTAGGTTAATATATAATACTAATATTTAGTATAAGGACATAATTCATAGGCTTGAAGTTAATAAACTAAATGAAACTAATACATATTTTCCTAAATATGATGAAACTGAAAAATTATCTATCTTTTAATTAGTTAATTCTAAGTTAATCAATTGTAATTAATTTTTAATTGAATGTTAGCTTCTTAAGGAGGAATTGGATTAGCAGTCTTACAACCTCCATTGCCTAATAATAAAGTTACAACTTTCATTTTTAAAATAAATGTACAATTTTTGGTAAATTTAGAAATCGAATCCATTAGCCGGGGTTGGTATTTGCAACTCTTAATCAGTTAAACTCTTTAATTATGATATGCAAGCAAATTATTTATCCAAAAACCATAACGTGTATCTTTTATGTGCTAGTGGATAAATTTCTAGCAAATTAGGATATACCAATACTACTAACTTTAATTTTGAAGATAATGCGATCTTAATTTGTTAATATGACCCAAAAGGTTTTAAATTAAAGATAAAACACTTAAATGTATGAATAGTTTTTATGAATTAGGATGGAAAAATTTATGATATTGAATTAGTAAAACCTGCTGTAGAAATGTCTCCATGTATTATGCTTAATGGTAATGCAGAAATAGAGATTATGTGAAAAATTTTATGTATTATTTTATAGTCACATTATCATATGATAATGCCAAATGAATTCCTTATTAATACAATATTATAATTCTTAAAACATAAATATTGCAAGATCAAAGTTAAATCAAACATAGTTATTTAGGTTACTGCGGTGATAATATGCTTTATTAATTTTCCATAGTTTATAATGACTTGTAAATTTCCAGAAGTAGTAAAATTAGATGATGTCTTGAGCATTTTTCGTTTTAATCTTAAATAATGGAAATAATTTACAAGATGGGATAAGAATTCATATTGTTTACCATACCTACACATTCCACATTCGAAGATGGCGATTTCTTTGGTTGTCCAGGTTTCTTAAAGATTAGAAATGATGATATTTACCAAAAGGAAAATCATTTCTTAATGGAGATATTAGAATATCTAAGACATCTTATTGCAGTAAAGAATAGACATTAGTATTTGATGGTTATTATTGTTGCTATTCAGTTTATTCCTGATTGGGTGAATCGTTATCGAGGATCTTCTTTTTCCTTCCAGGTTTCTTTTCCTTGAATTTATAATGTGATATAAACTTGTTTGAGTTCCTTTTTTGACTCGATCAAGACCTTCTCTTTCATAAACTCTGCCAATTTTTGATCACTCTTGTAATACAATTGGACCACTACACTTAGAAGACTCTCTAATGCATTGACCCACAAAGGTTGAGTTCCTTTAAATCTATATTGTCCTCCTTGTGGCAATTTCTTGGTGAATATGTGTGGAGTGATTGAGTTTGGCGGTAAAAACTTACTATGTAAAAATAATAAGAAAAAATAAATGTTGTATATATGGGTTAGAGTTGAGATTGAATTGAAAATGGTCTTACTCTAATAAAACTTCGTCAATTAATGCATCTGCATTACTTCTCTTTTTGTATTGATTTATTTATGACGTTGGAAGCTCTAAATATCCGGTACTAAAATAATAATAAAGGAAGCAATTAAAATATAAGAGTGGAATATGAAAAACTACATTTGTAGTTGTTAAAATTGAAATAGATTAATAGTTACATACATATGAGAGCCTTGTCGAGCAAGATGTTTAATTTACTAGATGACTGATTTATGCTATTCTTTAACTCTAAAGGAATTGCATTACAAATTAATTGCTAAATTAATGTGGATACAAGTACTAGCCTTTTCACCACTGCCATCCAATTTTATAACTTTTCGTATGCTTAAATCGAGTCCATTAATGTCTTCGAATTAAGTGCAATTATATTTATTTTGTTGCTTTTCATCAGACAGATCGCTCATTACTTCCTGCCAACTACATATAATCAAAAGCAGAAACCTATCTAAAAATGAATAATGCTTATTGAAAATAATTAATTTGTTTCTAAATAATTCTAAACCCTTATAATCTAAAACACTGAATAGTTACATTACTTAATTAAAACATTCTCGGAAGAAAACAGTCAGTCACTCATGAACTCTCTAGTCCCTTTGCATTTATTTATCTTTTCATTTTCCTTCCGTCTCCTTGTTAAATTATTTAGCGTCCTTCTCTAATGAAAACCCTTTTTTGAAATTATTCTGTGTCTCAACAAGGGCAACCATGAAACCCTTCTAAATCTCAAGGGATAGACAACAAAATAAAATATTGATGGAAAGCCTTAATTACAAATTAGTTCATCATGAGTTTTTATTTTACTATAAGAATGAGAAACTTAGACAGATTGTGCAGACTCATTGCTTTGTCTTTCATTTTCTTAATCGTGTCAAGAAAAACTAATCATTTGGAATTATATTAAAATCGGATAGAAAAGCTTAGGATTTTTTGATTATATAATTGTATCGAACTTTTGTTACCAAGTATTTGTGGTATTATGCAATTTATAACAATAAAAAGCAAATTTAATTTGATAATTTATATCATTTATCAAATAAAGCAAATGCTGATGTAGGTCTTGGAACATCCATTTTAATGCTTATTCTTTTTGATTTCTTTATATTGTCACATCCTTTATAATCAGTTCTTGAATACTATAACATATTGTAAAATTAATAAAATTACTAATTTTTAAAGTGTTTCATTTTAACTTAATATACTTTTCATATCACTTTTGTAAGTGTTACTTTCTCTCATTTTCATAGGGCTAGTATCATCCTTCTGACCTTAAGCTACACTATTACGAAATCCTAAAGATGAGTTTGCATGACCATAAGTTCTAATGCTTTCCATTTTGCTTTATTATTCTGATTTTTATAGACAAGATATTCTTAGCTATTTAACATTTTAGAATTTGCGTACCTTTTTATCAACTTTAGAATCTGGTGATAAAATTGGATCTTTGGCTGTTGGTTAACCTGGAACACTCTTTCTTAATCTTTTTTATTCACTTTCAGTTTTTTGTTCTGGTTTATAAACTCTGATAGAACTCCTGTAATCTTTTTCTTAATGAATTTCTGTTGATTATTATTGATATTTTTTCATGTAATGTCCTTCATTAAACATCATCAATTTCACATTCGTTTTATTTGATGAAGTGTGTACATTTCTAACTGGGTCAGCTTGGGAGTCGATTCCACTGAATAAGGCCTTCTTTTTCCCTGATTTCTATAGCGGTGTATCTTAATTGGCCTGAGTAGGATAATAATTTACTTAAACAATGGTGTCAGTAACTTTATAAGTAGGAGAGTTCATTCTGTTTTCCTTAGCCTTTTTACATGATTCAATTAATGCTTTTTGCATCAGTTGACTGTTGTACAATAATTCTCGATCTTGTTGAAGAGATTTGTTGGTTTTAAGAGGAGTGGATGTAACAGCCCCAAGAGATTGTACCTTTGATAGGGCTGATTTTGTATTAGATTAATACATTGTTAAAATAGACATTTTTAATATGTTATTAAATTTTATTTTGTTTTTTTTAATCATTCCAATTATTCATTTGTTAATATATTATATCTTCTATTTACACTATTAATACTAATTTTTCTTTTATGTTGAATTTGATCTATCGAAATGACTTCATGGTTCTGTCTTTCGCTTCTTTAAGGTGATACATTGCCAGAGACACTATTCGATTTTTTCTTGTTTTTACCATCTCTATTTCTAACTTTACCAAACGTTCCTTCAAATCTTTTAGACCTTTCTTGCGATAAATCTAAGGAGTGATCGATGCTGTGGTCTTCCTTTCGAATATTGGAATTTTCAACATTTATTTCAGTTTCAGATGTTTAAATAGCATGATCCTTCTATTAGTGATATAGAAACGTAGGAGAAGATTCAATTAATGTTTTTTAATTTTTTCCATTTTATTAATATTCAATAATCTAATCCCCATTTGATGCATTATTAAACAATTATTGTTATCCAAAGGAGATCCTATTTGGTTTATGAAAAATTGGTTCTTATTATGAAATTGTCTAACTTGGAGTATCTCTCAAAAGTGCAGGTTAGGATTAAGTAGCATCTGATTCAGTCTTGCTCACTTTGTATTAATAATTGTAACTATTCTACATAGCTAATTTTGTGATCTTTTCCTTTAGTTGATCCTTTAGTATATTGGTTTTCATCAGCTTTTCACTCAGCTTATTAGAAAGTTGAGACGCTGATGCAAGTTTATTTGAAGATTAATACTAGGTAGAATTTTACTCTTGAACTCGATTAATTAAAGACTTTAAAGGATCTAGATCAGTTGTTATAATTTTCTTTATCATCGATTAAAACTTGTCATTACTTCCTTATTTTGGCGTGTATTTTTGATCAGATGAGTACCATGATTTATTATTGCTAGTAGGATAATGCTCATAACATTATGATTGTGTCTCTGTAAAATATTGATTCACTATTTGGAGCACTTTTGTAAGTAGAGCTGAGTATTACAATGTATCGAACATCTGCAAAAATTTATCCTTGTTGCCGCATCTTTAAATAAATAGTTTGTTCAATTGAGGATTCCCATGAACAATTGAAAGAAAGAGAAATATATTGCATTACAAATTTTAATCATATAGATCTGTTTTATTTGAAAAACTTTTAGTCGCAGGATTTTTAGCATTAGGACTCAAGTAAATTGTGTTATTCATTCCCTTTTATAATTAATGTAAGTTACAATCGAAGTGTCCAAGATAAATGAATTGCCATATTATTTTTTCATCCTATAATTATTTTTATTAATATAATGGATTTTAAATCTCGTTTTAAGGGAAAGATGACCGTAATGAATAAAGACGGAGTCATAGGAATGGTAAACAAGCCCTCAATTCCCATCGTCAAAAATAACTAATACGCGGCTTCAAAGGATGACCTATCTCCGACCTTACAGAATCTCGGTCAATACACTGAGGGAATAAGGGAAACCAAATCTCACATCTTTACTAATATTCAAACATCTCCCAGCAAAAGGATTTTTACAAATTATACATAAAAGTTTTCAAATGCTGGATCATAAGTTATTAAATAACACCATGTTAAAACAGAGCACCATTATTATTTAGATGATCCCAAGAGACCGTTAAATCAATTGAGAATGCAATAGGACTTCAATTAGCTGGATATGGATGAATACGAAATTGTTGCTATTCCAAAAAAAATGTTGGGTTAACTTCGTCAATAAATGAGTGTTGACAAGTATGGCTTAACGAAAAGTTTTAGAATCGATAAAAAAAGCCCTGTTGAGTACTTTATTTCATTAAGGTAGACTGTCTCAATTATCCCCTCAAATTACTACAAAATGCACAAGTTATAATTAGACGCCTCTACTGAAAAAGCAGAACACTTTTGATCAAATAGTTAAGCCTTCTCCGTTTATTAAACAAAGATCTGAGAAGACGGAGAAAAGGAATCAGATCATCTAATAAGCTGGCATTGGAACTTTAAGATACAAGTATTAACTATTTATTATATCCATTAGTTCCTATAGTAAAAGATGAGTTTTATATTATTATTAATAAATTTTGTTTTAGGAATACTTCATGTTCATTCAAATCACATTAATTTTGATGATTGAATGTACTAAATACAATTTTAATATAATAAGCTATTTTTTGTTTAATTATATTTTATATATAATTTGGTATATTAAATTATATTGTATCACAATATAATGTCCAAAAGATTAACGATCTCCAAATTTAATCCTTTTAATACCAATGATAACCCCGAATTAGATCGAGTTGAAACCTATAAGACCTTTTATAAAAAGAGATTTCGAAAGCTCCAAGCAGATGAGAGTCCTCATTAGAAAATTATTCCTCAAAGTATCCTCCTGAAATCTGGATAAATACCATTTAAGAGATCCTTCCAAAAACCAAAGGAAGATGTCATTGATGTTAAAAAATTGTAATTGTATCCATTAAGAATTAGTTAGATATGTGAATTATGGAGTTATAAATACAACCATGTGGTGTAGAAGGTCTCAAAACTCAATAATGTGAGTGCTGTCTTGGAAATTTAGAGATAATAATAAAGGAAATCATAAAAATATAAAACTTAAAATTCGTACATACACACTTAACTATATAGATCCGATTAAATTCCTTATAATTCCATCGCTATTTCCGATAAAAGCAAACTGAAAACTACATTGTCAGATTACACTTTACCCAAAATAGAATCATTATCTTCCTTTTAAAAGTAAAAAAAAACTAAACGTAGTACTCTATCTCCAGAGAAAGTTCTGACTAGTTCTTAATATCCAAAAAATAACTGTATTTCTGACCTCAAGGGAAAACTCAAAGAATTAATTGAAATATGTGATCATGCGTAAGTATTTAGTCCAAACAAGTTTAGTAAGATATGATATTCCTTTGATGATTCATTAGCCAAATTTTATATTCTTTTTCGAATACTTAAATTATTAGATTTAATATTTATTCATAACACATGTATTTAATCCAAAGAAAATAATCCTGTGGAAATTTGGAAATTAGAGCCGAAAATTTGTATACACAATTAAACCAAATGTATATATTTATATAAATATTATGATTTAAGAAAAATCAATTACTAGTAAACATTTTACAGCAAAGGTTTAACACCTGTTTTTTCCGAATGAAGACAATTTCACAAAGTTCTGTAGGAGACTAAAGAAATGTAAATCAACATTTTTGGGCTGCATATATTAATTGACTCATCAGACAATTATTGACATCTTAATTACATTAGCAACATAAGGATGTAGAGTTGACATAATTATGGATTAAAACTCAGAGGAGTAGGACGAAAGAAAAAAGATAACCATAAATAAATTAATAGTGATGAGTGGATTCAAAGTGAATGTTTCATTGATTGAATCGAAAGGTCTAATGCATACCAAATATTGCGTTATTGACAATAAAATAACAATACTAGGTAGTGCTAATTGGACATTTCAAGCATTCTCGAATAACTTTGAGCATATAACAATAATCAAAGATTCTAATACAGCATAATAATTTACAGAACAATTCAAATTTATCTGGGATTAAGCAAAATAAGCCAAATTCATTGAGTCTTAGGTTGTATATCAACCCAATAAAAATTACGTTGAATTTGATTCAAAAAAGAGTAGTTTGCCAAGATTGAGGATATCAAAAAGATAATTTAAAATGAAGTTTCGAAAATATAAACCGAACCATCAACAACAATAAAAGAAAAAACAATAGAAAAAGAAGAAAAAAATACCTCAATTTTAAAAGACACAAGTGGATTAAAATTAGCATTAACCCGAAATGGAATGGATGGATGAATAACAAAAAACGTAAACTTTTATATAACACGAGATGAAAGAGTTTTTTGAGAATCTTAAATTAAATGAAGAGAAGAAATAACCGAATAATGACCAAAATAATGCAAGCAAAAAATTTAAAATTAATTTCATTAAGCAGGATATTAATCCTTGGCAAATTTAATCCTAATTAGTTAATCCAAACATTATTTAAAATCCAATACAACGTAATGAACCGTAGAGCAAAGATCAAAATATTATTATTATAGATGAAGAGGATGATGGAGATGTTCAAATAATAACCAATTTCTCTAAGGATTTCCAATGAAATTTGTTTATATTGTAATTTATAATAAAGAAAACAAAATCACATGTTTATAGGGGAGAATCATTTTTTGAGTGTTCTAAAATTTTAGCTATTTTTATTAGAATGATTAACTAGATATTAATTAATTACTTACCAATCTTAGATGAATGCGGTGAGATTTCTTAAAATTGTTATTTTTCAGAGTTACTATTATTCATAAATTGTTATATATTAAGTTTAATTTAAATAGGTTATTTTTTAGCTCCTTAAATCTCATTCTATTATTATGATTACTAATTATTATGCTCTGAGTGTTGCCTCTATTGATTCTAATGCTTTGTATTATATTAATTCTAAAATTCATTCTAATATTCATTCTTTAATCTAAAATCCTCATCATTGTTTCTTATGGGTGAAATCCTTTATTTTTGTTGTTAAGGTTAAAATGTAAATTAAAATTAGTTATTCTATTTTTAATTGAGCATATTCTCTTAGTAGTTAGATTCATTCTACTACTAAAAATCTATCAAAGGCTTAAAAGAGAATACATTTCTTTCGAAATGACTTTATTCTTAGCTTTAAGTGGTAGGACTAACAAGTTTCTCCTTCAATAACTACTGTAAATCAACTTTATGAATATATTAATCTTAAGCTTCATAATCAAAGCTATCTTCATACTCTTGACCAGAATGGTTGTCATAAGAATGATTGCTAGCATTATTCATAGAATTCATTGTGTTTTATGAAATGTTTTATTTTGATTTATTTACCTTCTTTTTATATAGTATTGCAGTTGGACTTTCATGATTTTGACGTGTATATATTTTAGATATTTCTGAATACTTGGTATTTTCGAAGGGTTTATAATACAATTCTCTTTCTTATTCATTTTGCAATTTCAAAAAATGATCATTTATTTTTAGTTATTCTACACTCTTCGAAGTTTCCTTATTTAATCTCTAGGATGAGATATCAAAGACCTTTTATCCTTTTTCAAAGGTTAATTTAATATGTTAACCTGAATTTTTGCTTTGTTTCTTTTATTTGACAACAAATTTAAATTTTGGTGAACTAGGTCTTCGTTACTTATTTTAATTTTGTAGATCCTCATTTTATTTTTATTAATCCTGTTTTCTTTTATTGATAGAACTAAAGGAGGTGTTTGCTTACTACTATTATTCCTTTTTGATTTTGCTTGCGTTAATCAATGTTTAGAATTCCTATTTAATTTATTAGTCCTCAAAACTGGCATCATTTGTGTTTCTGCCGATTTAAGAATAATTCTTGAAGAGGGTTGGATATTCGCTTTTTTCATTATTTTCAGTTTTCTAAATTATATAGGATGGATATTTGTGAAGCCATCTATTATTGTTATCTTCCAATTTTGGATCGCTGGATGTTAAATAAAAGGATTGATTTTTAGACTCAAGGTTTCTGGAACTATGGGGACCGGACAATAAGTTGGATTGAAATTTGCTATTAAAAATTTAGTTCGACAATAACCCATTTGGTTAGATCTTAGGTTTACAAATAAACTCATACATTTTGAATTCCCTTCTTTTAATTATGACTAAATAGTGTCAATTCGCAATTCTTATCTAATTATATTGATTCGAATGCTAAGCTTAAATTAAGATCAGTCTATTACATCTGAACTTCTAGAAATCCAAATCAGAGAAACTGATATTCTTCAACAAACCCATTTCTTGAAAGAAGCCATCTTTTTTCATCTTAAAAAGTTGATTATTTTTCTTATTTTAATCTAGAGTTTTCCTAATTTAATTTGAGAACAATATACCCATTCTGATTGACATTAGTTTGTTATTGCTATTCATATTCATCAATTGCAAAAGTCAATTTCAAATTGGAAATCATCGTTAACTTTGAAATAATTTATTTGGTATTACATTCTAATCCATTAAAATTGGGATTTAATTTAAACATTGAGAAATTTCTTTCATCTCTTTCACTCCTTCATCATAAATGATTAAACTCTATTCTATTTGTTCCATGATTAAATTTAAACAAAAATTCTTAAATATAATATTTAGAATGAATTCAAATATATTTGATATACATAAAAGAAGTGTATATATTTTAGATAAATAATATGTTATTGTTGTTTATAATTATTGTTGCATACTATCAAGCAATAGTTTTATAAATTTATTGAGTTAAGACTTAATGATGAAAATGAAATATTAGTTTCCATTTTATGTGAAATAAATTTGTAGAGAAAGAACTTATAAAATAATAATTTTATTTATTTTATATCAATCAAATCTGATACGTCTTAAATTTGCAGCCAATACAGAATCATCAGCTTGAATAATCTCAAACTTTTTTTGAATAAAAGAAAATTGGATTTCCTCTAAACAATCCTAACTCTATGAGAATTAAACAGTTTTTCCTTTATAAACTTCCTCATCAAATCCTTAGACCACAATACCAGGAGGAATCTTGATTGATTTAACTTGACTGATCTTTTCCTAAAAAGATATCGAAATAGATGATTACTCTTGCTAGTGATGGAGTGTCTCTACAGATTTCAAATTTGGTTCCCTTGAATCCACATTCAGTATACAATTCAACACAATCTTCTTTCAATTCATAAAGGATTTGGAATTCTCTGAAACCCCATGATTCATCATCAGCAGCTTAATCCAAGGTAGAAGTTAAGACAACGTTGGCAGTAGGATTAGTGTGTTCAAGAATGACATCAACATTGAAGAAGTAAGTCATCCAAGTACTTTAAGGAGCTCCGCAGATTTTGGCTTATCCTGGAGTACTGAATCCGAATGATCTTTCAAAGACGACCTTGCCATCAACAAAGAGTTAGAATTTCTCATCATCCCATGAATCTATCTTCCAGAATTAGAATTATATTCTGAGTCTTGAATGTTTGGGAAGATTGAAATTTCTCTCAGCCTTGCCCTTGACACCAAATCTTTGATAACCACCGAACAATTTCTTTTATCCACATGTTGAAAATGGATTTTAATTTTGGAATACATTTGATGGAACCCAATCATACAATCCTTAGAAGTCTTATTCATCATTAAAGAAGAATCTGTTCAATGTCATCCACTTAACTAATCAATTTATATATCTATTTAATTACTTCCTTCTTTGCATTCACCATTGACAAGATCGAAACCTTATCCACATGAAGTACAATCAGATTTAGCTGGTCCAGTGCAACCTGTGCATCCTTTGAAACATTGAGCAGCAAATAATTAGAAATCTCTGACTCCCCAGGATTCATTCTCAGGTGGTTCATCCAATGTAGACTTCATTAAGACCTTGACTTCAGGAAATTTGTGAGGGACATTTATTTCAATGTTGACAATCTTTTCAGCCCATCCTTCTCCTTATTTAGCACCTGTATCAACACCACAGAGATCAACTCCTTCATTATAGGCAAAGGCTTATCTGAATTTCTCTTAATCATCAATTTCCATTAAGAACAACTCGTTATCCCAAGAATCAATCTTCCACATTTATACCTTAACCTTGACTTAATAGTGTGGTGGCAAATTAGTGAATCTCTTCCATAAATTGGCTTTTCTTCCTAATTTCCCATAACCACCAAAGAGTTAGACTCCTGCACATTCATTTCCTTCAGGCTTTCCTTCTCCGTCTAATGTCCATCCTTCTAATGAAATTTGCTTATTCCAATTAGTAGCTACGTTTGTCCAAAAGAAACAATTGTCTGGTTTATTATCTGAACATACTGCACATTCTGGATGACATCTTTAGAATGATAATTTGAAATCTCTGAATGCCCATGATTCCTATTATAATGATATATGATTGTCCTTACATTCAAAGCATCTTCATCCAAATTGGATGTCAATACTATGCTCACTGTTGGTGAATTGTGTGGAACTTCAAACTCAATGTTATAAAAGGCTTCTTTCCAATCGTTTGCTGCTCCACATAAATTAGCTCCTTCAGAATAGTGCCATTTTGCTTGCCAAATGAAACCATCAACCAAAACATACATGATTTCGTTATCCCAACTATCAATTCTATTGTTTTAGTTATTTAATCAATATTACTTCCACAATTGTACATTGATCTTTAATTTATAATGAGGTGGAAGTGCTAATTATTTTAATGCTGTTGCTCCTTTACCAAAGGCTCCATATCCACCAACCAAACTGACTTTGTCACATTTGCTAAAAGTGTTTCCTTTAAATGCTTTCTTTACAACCCAGCCTAATTATTTATCATGTAAGATTACCATCCAAGTCATTTATTTCAGCTGATGTAAATGCTGTATAATGGGTTACCCAAGGATCCTATGCTAATAAGATCTGCACACTCAACAATACAAGTAGGATTGTCTTCATATTATATTAATATTAATGCTAATCGTCAATTCCCTTAAAAACGAATACTTTATAATTTATATTATCCAATATATATATAAATTCTGTTTGCATCTTCCCTTTCTTTTGTCTCCACTCTCAAGAAACCACTCTCTTATCCAATTATAATTCACAAAGAATTAAAATAAATATGATTTCTATATATTAAACTGTCAATTGACACTTTATTCTCTTCTCAGAACTCAAAAATATCGTCACTATTCATTCCCAATGACTAGAAATTTGTTCTAGCCAATGAATTCATCATAGGAGGTCCACAAGTCAAAGCCAATGTCTGACTATCCAATTTACCAAATGCCTGTTCAGTCATATCTCTTGTGACAAATCCAGAAAAGCCTATCCACTACGCTGGAGGCTAATCATAAATTAACAACCATATTTACATTGTCCAAAGTCAAGTGCAGAGTCAACTTTTTCAAAGAGGCAAATGCCTTCAACTAATTGTACAACAAAATGTCTGACTATCATGATAGAATAAATAATTAATACTTCAGATTTATTGGCAAAAAGCAATGCTAACTGAGTTCTATCATTATTATTCTTAACCACAGCTTGAATGATCTAATACATAGGGGTTATTCCAGATCCACCAGCAATCATCACGATTCTTTTATATTTCTTTCTATATAATTATGGCATTTTATTGATCTAAACATTTCCGTAGCCCAAATACATCAATCGACCTCCAGGACCAGTAATGTGAATAGATTCTCCTGGCTGAAAATATCAAATAATTTTACATTCATATTTTCAATCCAAGAAGTTAATTTACCTCCATCAGGAAATTTAGGATGCTCATTTGCTCTATAGATCTTAATCAATAGATCGAAATTGCCCTTCTAGTCAACTGGACTAGTTGGAGTGTACTTCCTCTCCACCAACTCCCCTTCTGGATACTCCTTTGTTTTTATTTGCTCACTTTTAAATTAATGAAATTATATTACTGTAAGATGATGTGCTATCCGACTTCGATTCCCAATGCGTGTTTCTTAGATGGAAGAGCAAATTTAAAATTATATGTGTCATGACTCAATTTGGTTTTCTCTATCAATTAGCAATTTAAATATTCCCGCTTATGCTTGGGCTCTAAGGCACTCGGAGCCTTGGGACTAATAAGGCTTGTCCATATTAATTTGATCAAGGCTACAACAAGGAGGGCAGCAAAAATATAAATATAAATCATTTAATAATATTTAAGTCAATCAAATATAAGATTTAATTTTTGCTTATAGTTAAGGCACACTATAAGGAGAGACCTTAGAGGCCGATTGTTGAACTGCACTAGTTGGATTGTACTGAGAGTAGGATTGTTGCTGATAGGTCTAATGAGTTTGTCTGGCTTTGTTTTCATTCTCCAGTCTCCTTTGCAGATCTTGATTTTTATTTTCAATTTCGGCCATTTCATGACGATGTCTTATAATCATTTCATTAATTTCTTTCTCCTTATTAAACACCTTCTCTTCCAAAAACGATCTTTCCCTATCAAACATCGATTTCACTTCCTGAACATACAACTCAGTTTATTAAATCTATTTAAGTAACTACTTATTTTCTGCACTTAATCTATATATTAAATCAAATAAATCAATACCTGTTATTCTCCTCCTATAGTTATCTGACTTAATTATCCAACTTCGATAATTGTTCCATAGACACTTTGGCATTAGGATCTTCAGCTTATAACTTCATAATTTTGAGATCTGACAATATACCATTGGGGTCTTTTCTCACCTTCCACTTAAGTTTATCATTCTCACATTATAATTACTCATTTTCTACTTCCCTTAACTTCAGTCTCTTCCTCAAGTCCTCAGATTCAGAACACAACACCTTCATCTATTCATATTATAATTTATATTAATCTCTCTCAGACTTAGCATCTTTAACTAATTGTTGCATCTATGCCAATTCCTCATCGTATATCTCCTTCTGATTTGTCAGTTTCTAAATCTTTTCCTTTAAACCACTCAAATTTTCTGACTGATCCTTCTTTCTAAACTCTAAGTCGTTCTCTATAGTAATTTTCTAATTCTCCAAACTATTATACGCTGCTAATAAACTTTTGTGCTTCTCATTCACTTCCTTATACAAAGCATTTATTTAATTGAGATCAATACTCAATTATTGATTCAATTTCTCTAATCTTTCAATTGTACCATCTTTCTCTAAAATAGCCAATTTGTCTTAGGCTGCTACCTAAGTCTGCTAGAGATTAATTTTCTGTAATCTTCCAACTTCGGATTCAAACTACTTTAGATTCTGTTCAAATGTATCTTTGGCTTTGTTGAGATAATTATTCTTATTTTCAAGTTCTGCACATAGAAATTTAGACTCCTATAATTAATCCTTAACAATTAATAATTCAGATCTAGAGGCTTGTTTTAGATCATATAGTTATTTATCCAATTATTCTATCTGTCTTTTGGACTGATTTAATTATTGATTCAAGTTTTTAATTTCTTATTGCAGCATATCGTTTATACTTTACAGCTTGATGTTCTCTGTAATTAATTTGCTTTTTTCGATATTCTATTCATTCAATTACACTTATAATTATTAGGCAGATTCTTAATTTTTCAATATAATCTCCTCATATTTATTAGCAATTTCTCTTTCCTTTGAGTGTTTTCTACAAGAATGACCATGACTTCCCTTCTCTCTTCTGCTCTCATCATACCCACTTGAAGATTCGCTTTCAGATAATACTAACTTTTGATTTTGGTTTACTCTTTCTTTCTCCTAAACCTACTGTTGATTAAATGTGATTGGCTATGGTTTTTATGGCAAATCTTAGAAGTTACTTTTCTTTGATTCCTAATTTTCCTTTGGTAATGGTTTTTTATCTGGAATTACTGCTATTGGCTTTTCTTATTTAGGATTCATTTTTTATTAAGGTTTATCAACTTTGCTCTCCTTCTTGGAGGCTCTACTCTAATTTTCAGGTTGGGGTGTTTTCATTTCATTTTATTTTTATTATAGTTATAGGATTGGTTTTTCATCTTTTTTATTTTCAACCGATTTTTGTCTATCCATTTCTGCAGAAGTTTTAATGGTATCTGCAAATTACACATTTTTCTTTGATGAACCCCTTTACTTTAACATCTCATCATCTAGAGGCTTTTTGAGTGCAGATTCAAATTATTTAAAGGTTTCATTTGCATTCTAAACTAATTTAAATGCTTCTTTCTAAGGGTCTTAGGCATTTTGAACATCTTTGCTTACCTATTCTAGTAATTCCTTTTTTAATTTGTCCTTATTCTTTGACATCGGATTAACGTATATGTTTAATTATATGAACTAATATAATAATAGCAAAATTTAGCAATAAATTATTGATCATTGAATCAACCTTCTTCGAGGAATCTACGAATTTATCTTGATTCTTTGTTAAATAAATTGTATTCAATCATCTTATCAAAATCAATATAGTATTTTGAAGTATTCCTCATTACATTTAGAGTATTTGATTTTGTCGAGTTTTTGCAATATTTTTCGTATGCTTTCTCAAGTGCATCTGTATTCTCTTGATCATAGTTATTCCATTCATAAGATTTTGGTTACAATTAATACTACCACACTATTATCTTTAAGGCTCCTCTACTAATAGGTTTTTTAGGTATTTCCTAGTAGGGCTTTTAAATGTTTCTCCTTTAAATATGATTGATAGTTAGGGTATTTGTATTTTCAAGAGTGCCTTCTTTCAGATCAATTATAAATCTATGTTTTTGCAAAGTGAATTCATAAATGGATTAACCAGTCTAACAAGCATTCTAGTAGAAATTTTCAATCATATCACTGATTTATTATTATAAAGGTCTGAATTAGCCATTTCTCTATTCATACCAATGGTATTATGTATATTATAATTAATTGTTTGATGTTTATGGTGACATTTACACTTTATTGTTGTTTTATTTAAGTAATGTTTTACCGAAAGGAACTTTACAATAAATTTGTCTGGATTTTCCATTAAGAGTATTGATTAATCTCATCTTTTTTAGGTCAATGCAATGTCCACCAGTTTCTGCAAAGCGCACGCAAATGAGGTCCATCTCATCATCAATACCTTTTAGAACTGACAAACTTAGTTCATCACTTAATTATTTGACTGTTGTAGGTGTTATTTCAATATAAAATTCCTATAACTTCTTAGAAATGACTTTTGTTGATATTTATGCTTATTTCTTATATTCTTTATTATTTGGATCGGCTTAGGGAGAATAATTTTATTAATATTTTGGGTTGGAACGTGCTTTTTTCATTTTCAGAATAAATAGTTAATAAAGTTAAATTAATAAATTTCATTTTAAGAATCAATTAAATATAATTAATTTTATTCAATTTCATTTTGAGTATGATCGATATAACTTGAAAGATAGTTCTTGATTTATTCTTGTGATAGATAGACGCTAGAAGAGGTGTTGTACAATGAAAAAATATTCCTAACTAAAAGTAGAGTTAGTATTGTTTTTGAGTTTTTGAGAATATCAGGGCTCAAAAAATATTGATATTAGTTTTTGTAGCATAGATGTTATAATTAAGGTCTGGCTTTCTTGCCAAATGCTTTATAAATAGAAAATTTAATAATAAATATCCTTAAACTTGTATTGTTTAAAATATATTGTTTAGAGATGAGTGAAATTTATTTAAATTGTAATTGAGTGTCTTACCCAATGATACAGATATTAATACCCTTATTTATCAAGATTGCATTGAAATTAACTACAAATTATAAACGGTTTGAAAATTTGTGAATAAGTTCATTAAAATTATCAAAAAAAATGTCTTGTAAACCAAAAGATGTTCAATTTTTAAAAAGAAGAAAGGTTAAAATGTAAGAATGAGATTTAATGCAGAGAATTTAAAAGTACAAGATTACGATGACAGTTTTGACATAGGATAATCCATAACTACATATATTATCTTATTAAAAGGATGCATCGAAAAGGAGAAATGTAGATCAATTGAAGTTATGTAAATATGATTGAGCAACAAGCGAATTTCTCAGCTTGTCGTATTGCATTCACATAATAACCAAGATTGTTGCCAATTGAACTATGATAGAATTGAAATTTCTTCAATGTTTGGAGATCACTATTCAAAAATAAGAATTATGAATATTTATATCAATCTAACAGTATTAAAATTAAATAATTTGTATTTTGTTATATGAATTCCAAAGAATACAGTATTTATTTGAATATATCATAGTTCATAGAATGCTATACTTAAGCCAATTGAAAAAGGATTATTTAGAGTAATGCCTATCCAAAGAATAAGAGCCAGATTACTAATTGATCCATGTGATTTCCACGATTGAATCAAATCAGACCTCAAATTTAGACTTGTCTCTGGCTAAGGCAACCTCCCTTTAATTGATTCTGCCATTGCTTAAGGTAAATTGTGCTATTATCGGTCAAGGCAGTGTCAAAATCATATTGACTAAATTACCATTACATCCCAACAAGCCCAATAACTGAAGGACACCCTTCCTTAGTTCATTGAAGAAAGCAATCTCGACATCCAAATACGCAAGAAGATTCCTCAATTGGATCTAAATCAAATCAATTCGTCCACCAGCAATTTGATTTAATCTTCTCAGAGATAAAACAAACTACAAAAATCCCCTTCCCAATATTAATTCAACACTGATCGTTTGCAAAATCCACAAAGCACTACAAGAATCAAAAAATAATTATTGACAACTGGCCTAAATCAATAGCCCCAACCTAAATCGCCTAACACAAAGATAGTCAATGTCAAATTGAAAAAATAACACACAGAAATAGTTGGGAAATCATTGACACATAAAAAAAGACTATAATTATAATCACATGAAGATTTAAATCGAAAAGTCAGTTCTCACAGTTTTACCAAACATAAAAATACCAGCAGCTCACCAATCAATGAAACCACAAGCATTTAAAGACAAATTAGCTCTTATGCAAGTGGCCAACCCTAATTGAAACCTAATTCCTCAGGTGCCAATATTCAAATTAAAACCTTGTTGGAATCTCAATAGAGCTAGAAAACAACTAACCCCACAATCAATTCCAATGATCAAAATGCTGATATATCGATCCATCTGAAGAACCTAATCAGCTTTTGCAATCAATCCATATTAAAAAAGAATCAAGAATGCTACAGTTCTAAGAAGGAGTTATCAACTCAATAAACCAATTCTAGTATCATATAAGTCAAAGAAAACAACAAAGAGAATACTTAGCCAATTAAGAAATCAACTCCTTTGTTAAAGGCAACTGAACATACAATGATTAAGTTGACCGAATTAACAGAGGAGGACAATCCTGAAACAGCTAGATTTAACTCTGAGGATGATGTCCGTAAACTTACTAATTTCAATAGTAAAGGGTTGTAAAAATTACTCTAATCAAAAACAAATCAATTATCCGAATAGAGCTCAACATAATCATTACTTTCATTATTTTAAAGAAAATGATTATTTTATCAATTAATATTTAATAATAAATTGTTAATAAAAGGTGTAGCAATTCTGTTTAGTTGATTTTAATTTTACGAATCCTTAGACCTAATTGGTTGCCTTTTAGATCAATATAATATAGAATCATTATGCCTCTAATTTATATTTGAATTGATTATTAATTTGTAGTTTTAGGATTATTACGATATTGCTTAACAATCCTAAATGGAAGACTATACAAAATAAAAATGTATAATTGATTTGGAACATTAAAATCATAATTGATAATTATTATAATTTATATCTAAATGCAATAGTAAACTATAGAGGACTTGGCAGAGAAGGAGGCTGAGATAAAGGAAGCATTTGAAATATTCGACAAAAACAAATCCAAAAGTATATCTGGTAAGAAATCCTTTATTATGAAAAAAACAGTTTAGGAATTGACTTCAGTTTTTCGGTCTTTGGGTTACAATTTCTCTTAGGATGAAATCTAATCGATGGTCAAAGAATTGAGGTAAACTTAGAAGGCAGAAGGAGCAGAAGATAAGGAATTAGATTTTGACGATTTCAAGAACTTGTTATTAATGCAGGAGGAAAAGGCTAAGAGTGGAGAGGATGATTTGAGAGATGCCTTTGAAGTTTTTGACAGAGATGCTAATGGCTATATCGGTTTGGAGGAACTGATGATGGTAGCAAAGAGTTTAGGGGAGAACATCTCGGAAGAGGATCTGAAAGGTATGTTATAGTATGCAGCCAATACATCGAATTAAAAGGATGATGATAAGGATAAAGCACCTCAAATAAATTTGTAGTAATTTGTTGAAGCTTATTTAAAATGAAAGCATATAATTATTCTATTCATTAAATTTATCAATGAAAAGTCTATAAAGTTATGAATAATTCAAATAGGTGAAATAGAACCCCTTAAATAATTCAAAAAGTAAATAGTTATACAGCTTTTCAAAATCTCCCAGATTCACTTACAAGGAAAAGAGAGAGTAAAACATTTAAATAGCGAATTTAGTAACTCACCATCATTTTACACAATTAAAACTGATCTAATTTCCCCTCATAAAGGTGTCTCTTTTGGATCTGGCTCCAAGGTAGATTTCTCTAAATTGGGAACCAAAACTCCAGGACCAGGACATTACTAACTTAAACAGCCAAAGACTACTCAAGTTATCAATCTGAAAAAGCATACTATGGGAGTTGGTAGAATAGAAACAAAACCGAAGAGTGAGGTACCTCCAGTGGGACTTTATTAAGTAACCTAAAGTTTAGTTTAGGTTAATAAGGCTCCGCATTTCGGGTTGAAGTTATTGCCAAGTACTTGAACTTTCATTATACTAGAGAATGAAACATGTGCTCCTGGACCTGGGAAGTATGATATTCAAGTAAAAGAACACTCTAAATCATTTGTGGCTGGTTTTGGTTCTGGGAGATCAGAGTAGACAGTAGAGGATACCCCTGGACCTTTGGAATATAGACCTAGGACTGAAATGTCACCAAAATATGCTAATTCCAATTGGAGTAATTGTCAAGTAACAAAGTTTTCGAAAGTGTAACGTTTTGGAAGCAATGCAACTATTACCCCTGGTCCTGGGAAATATTAAATAGCAGGAGAATTTGGAATATACTGATTTATATGAATAATTATAAAGTTTATTTAAGAGTAAGACCAATTGATTATGATTAATCCATGTTGAATATCGACTAGAATACCATTTCCATCAAAGTATTTCTTGTAAAGCACTTAGGATCCTACCAATAAATAAGCTGAGTGGTAATAGTACTGTTACGATAAGATATTTCCATCAACTTCTACTCAAAAAGAGCTTTTCGATGAGGTGTTCAATTTTGACTATTTAAATAAAAATGCCTGCATTCTATCGTACGGTTAATCAGGAAGTGGAAAAAGTTATTCGTTATTTGGAAATGTCCAAAACCCAGGGATAGTTCCATTATTTGTATAAACTATGTTAGAAAAAAGTCAAGCGGTTGAAGCATCATTTCAAGAGATCTACATTGATTAGGTCAAGGATCTAAATACTAATCTTGTAACTGAAGATTTTACAAGAAGGCAAATTATGTTAATCAATGATCTATGGGATATGATCAAAATTGTTAGGAAAACAGACATTAAACGATAAGTGAGGACACATGTTATAATTACATTGTATTTGAACAAGGATACTAAAATTTAGTTTGTAGATTTGGCAGGATCTGAAAGAGTGGCTAAGAATATAACGGAAGGTGAAAAGTATTAAGAAGCCATTATGGTAACATCAAGTCATCAGGTTTTGAACAAATGTTTAAACTTATTCAATCAAAATAAAGTTATCCCAAAAAGAGAGTCAAAATTAACTTCAGCCTTGATTATTGAAAATAATACTCAAGTCATTTTAATTGGAACAATCAATCCAAGTCAATCAAATTATGAAGAATGTTTGCTTACATTACAATATCTGGATAGGACAAAGAATGTTCAAGTCTAAATTCGAAAATAGCAGTCTCCTTTAGGGCTAGATACTCCTAATAATTCACAATAGGATAAAGTAATAAAAAGGTTGTAAGAAGAAATATAAGAATACAAATAGAAAATAGAACAACTGAATTTAGATAGAAAGAAACGGTTTTTGGATTTATAGAAGCTACTTGGTTTAGATATCGATTTAGAAAGACTATCTGCAAAGAATGCCAAGGACATCACTATATTTAGGAATTAATAGGAAGCATTGTAGAAGAATGTTTGTCTTTAAGAATAATTGGAACAACAACATTATGAAATTGCTGAATTGTAAAGAAAGAATGAAGAATTGAAATAAGATTTCCATCAAAAACTGGAAAGATATCAATCCTAATTATTAGAATAGAGAGAAATTAATAAGAAATTGAAGGATTAAATGAATATGACCAAAATGAGTGGGGATGATGCATTGAGGTAATTAAATTCAGAAAGAGATCATTTTATTAAGAAATTGTAAGATGAGTCCAAAAATCTTTTAGAAGATAAAGTCACTTCAATCATTAATCTCCCTTAAACTGCATTAACCAAGCTTTCAGAAAATCAAAAGTTACAAGATCTAAGAAGACAAGCAAGAAATGAGGCTGAAAAGGAATTCAATAAGTAATTGGAATCGATAAAAATAGAACATCAAAAATGGTTGGATACCTGTAAATAATAGTATGAGTATCATTTAAATGAAAAAAACAAGGAAATCGAGAACTTTCTCTCTTCCTTCAAGTAATATCGAGAAAGAAAAAAGTAATTCCTATTCATAAATTGTCTAGATAATAAATCAATGAAATTGTCGATGAACTTCTCGATCTTTATGATATCGTACAAAAGCAAAACAAAGTCATTGACAAAATAGAAACAGGTGGGTATAGTGGAGGATTGAAATCTTTTAGCATTCCTAAATAAGATAAGCCTAATCTTCCAAATAAAATTAAACATAAAAAGTAATTGAATATTCCTACTTAGTTTATTTTCATATTTGGATACAAAAAGTGTTTCAGCCACCATTACTAAAAAAGCTTCGACAATTGAAAAAACCATTAAAACTACTACCAAATAATTAAAATAATCTCAAAGTTAATTTGCTATTGAAATAGACTACAATCAAATTGATTAAATTAATTTTACATCTATGGATTTAAGCACTTTAAGATCATACGCAAATAAATTGAGAGATCTGGTGAAAGAGCTATAAGATTAAATGATTGTAGTATAGGATAAATGTAAATAGTAAATTGCATAGATGCAAAGAGGTAAGTTTATTGATTTATTTTATAGAACGTGATGAAGCTATTCAAAGGTACAATATCGAAAATAGAAGATACAATTAAAATAGAGTTGTGATCGAATCCCAAAACAGGATATTATAAAAAATAAGACCTATCAGTTCAATTCAAAGAAAATCATGATTCAGATATTTATCAAAGTAATCTAATTACAATATTTACATATATATATTACTAAAAATATCGATATTAGATTAGAATTGATAATTAAATTTATGAGGGTCAAACAAATTTGATTGACTTTGCGTATACTTTTTTCTGCAATTTCTAAATTAAAAAGCTATATCAGAATATTTACATAAAGCCTTTGAGTATATGCATCGTGAATTTTCTCTTTTTAGATGTTTGTTTCAATTCTTAATTTTTATTTATTTTTTTATTCTAATTCTTTCATCATTTTTATTTTTTCTCCTCTTTCAATTTTCAACTCAAATTTCCTCAACTTTTCTGTCTATATTCTATTTAATTATCTTTTTTGAAATTTCATCCATCTATCATATGCTTCTTAGTCCAACTCTAATTTCGGCCTAGAGCTGCAGAAAGATCGAATTACCTTATATGAATTGCATCGCTCTCTAAGGATTTAAATCTAGGCTCATTTTATTGATGCTTAACTGTGGATATTTGGCTTTATTTTAATTTCTATAGTTATCTATCAGTAATCAATGACATTCTTTCACAAGATTTCAAAACAATTTAGCTTTTTTGTAGTTCTTTTTCTCTAACTTATCTTTCGTATAACAGTGCCTATGATATTTCTCTTTGTTGTTTCTTCTTGAATAAAGATAGAGATTGAGAATCCATATAATTATATTAAATATTGAATTGTAAATCAAATAAAAAAGAATGAATTATTGAACTAGTGTGCATTTACATAATTTTTTAGAATGAATTAAAAACATTAAAACTATTTCAAAACCAAAACTCAGGTGTGTTGAATGTAAGGTCTCGTGATATGTGAAGGGAATCATAATTAAACAAAGCAGTAAAATTAATATGTACGAAATTGATGTTTGAAGCAATTTTATTAATATTTATAAATATAAAATATTACAAGTATTTCTTATGCTTTATAAATATTGAAATTGAGCCATTAGTTTAAATAATACAATAAAACTGAGGAGAATGGTTACGATCAAATGTAATATAATGTGTATACTTTGATTACGATATAAACTTATTTAAACAAAACAAATATAATACAATCTACTTCAATTAATTAGCTCTTCCAGGTACTAGTAATCATTTCGATAGCAGTTATCGCTATCATCATTAGAGCTACAACAAAAGTTTTATAACTAAGGACGGGAGCCTTCATAGTTGGACAAGTACTCGAAGTGACAGGGGTCTGTTTTTCATAATTTATTGATACTTATTTGAGATTTGATTTCTGGTGTGTAGTACTATTAGACTTCGTTGGCATATGTTATGTTTTCAGCATCTAAATTTATTATTCATGAAAATTACTGATTCTCTTCTTGTTCTTCTTGTTTCTCTTTTGGCCAGCCAATGTGAATGGATTGAATTTTTAGTGGTGGGATCTTGATATATAAATACTTTGTACCTGCATTGTGACGGGGATCTGGTCCCAATGGTCATTGACATGAGTTTGAAGATTTTGTTATTTTTTCTATTTTATTGATTTTGCATAGTTGTGTTTTGATGTTGTTTGAGGAACTCAACATAAATTTGGTGTTCATGAGTCGACCAATGTCCTTGATTTTTTTTTACATCCTAAGGCTGCTCCTTGCTGATTTTCTTTTTAGTGACTTAAGACTTCTTGCTCGTTTCCTATTCATAGTAAGAAGACAATTTACGTTTAAAGTACATGACTATTCCCCCTAATTATTAGTTCCTTAACTGCTTAATGAGTCACTTAATTCATTTTATCTGGGAAACTAATTTTCAACAGCGAGAGAAGTCTATGGTAGCAAATATAAGACGCAGTTGTCCTCCATATTTAGGTATTAAAATTAATAATATATTTACCCTCTACACACTACCGTCATAAGCCGTATTATAATATATTAAATTTCATTCCCCCCCCATAAATTGTAAATTTGTAAAATAATATATAAAATTATTTAAATTTAAAGGCTTCACCACAGATCTGAACTGAATGCATTACTAAATAAGGAGAGTTTAGATAAAATAGAATTTCATTTAAGCATTTAATTAGTAAATTAATTAATAATCAATATTTTACTTCGGTTTTTTTGAGTTAATTAATGTAACTGCCTCTTCATATAGTGTAATTTACCTATCAAAATTGTTTCAAAATAGTTTGAAATTGATCATTGAGTCGTAAAAATATAGTTTACAATTTATAAAGAAATAACTAAGTTGGGGAGAGAATATTGTGTTTTTTAATATAAGGGGAATAACTTTAATTATAAATTCAACTGTTTTATCATACATCGAATTCCACTCTGATAACTTTAATATGACTTTTAACGTCTTATGATTTATTATTATTATTAAGGGTAGGGTTTATTTTAGATCTCAAGAAGTAATTTCTTGATAACTCTACCAAAGTTTCATTATTAAAAGGTTGAGCTAAATTTGGCCTTTTTTGAGTTTTTGTTATTCACTCTTTTTAAGATTCTCCTCTGTATGTTAGAACCTATAATTAGAATAAGTGAGTGAAACTGAATTCATAACTATTTTCGCGAAACAATGTGAATAGTTTGATTTTCTGATTTAAAGTTTAATGCTTATCATAATTCTATCCTCCTTTAATTATTCATATGATTGTATAGGATACTTATCCTATTAATTTAGACAATAGACATTTTTATATTTTTGATTTTTTTTATAAAGTAATCAAACTTAAGTTATATTAATAATTTTATTATATATTAAAATTCCATTAATTCAAAAAGTCATAACAGAATTGTATATATAATTTATAAATATTGAAATCATATTCATTTCTAATCGCATAGCTATAATCCTTATATTAACTCTTCTTAGATCTCAAGTGAGACCTTCTCAATCATTTTGATATAGTTTTCATGATCTTATTTAGAAATTTATTTCTTATTTGCTGTTTGATTTTTAAGAGCATTATTTTTAATTTATAATTCATGAAGTTCTTTTTTCTTTTGTTCAATCATCTTCATTAATTGCATTATTTGTAAGTTTTGTTCATTCTAAAAATTAAAAATAAAATTATCTTCGACTTTTATCTCTCTCTAAGAGTTCTATTGTGTCATTATTTAAGGAAGAGTATCAGTAAAACTACTATTATCAATGCTGCAAACAGAGTTGCGTTTTCGAATCATACTACCTTTAGGACTTGAAAAAGTTAATTAAGAATTTCCGAGCTTCTAGTCCAATAAGGTTTTAATTTATGTGATAGCTCAAATATAATCGAATAAATAAGATACATTTATAATCAGTTTTGTTAAGGATTTACTTGCCAATTGTTTTATAATCAAACCCAAATTATCCAAATGATTTTAAACAGCATTTAGCAACCACAATCAGATATTTCTAGATGACTTCAAAATTCATCGACTAAACAAACTCTAGGAATATGATATGAAAACAAGAGAAATTCAATCCTTTAATGAATAAGCTCTGTGTGTTTGGGGTGGAAAAGAATTCCATAAACTTCTTAATTTAAGAAATTTGGGTTGAATCAATTTTGAAGGCAAGTTGGAAGTCTTGGACTAGAGTTTGCAAATTGGGTTCTTGAGTGGAAGTAGGCCAATATTCATTTGGCATCAATTCATAGAGTTATTCTAATAATTATAGAGCAGCAAAATCCTTCATTAATGTCAGGAAAACAATTGAAATTTATAATAATTCGCAAGAATACCCCACTTCTGAATTTCTATACAAAAATACAATTAGGAGATTTTCGATGTCATCAAAAATTTGATTGACTTTCATTTTGTTTGTGGAATGGCAAATCCAATCCTGAAATGAGTAGTTAAACATTTCCTAAGTAATGAAACACTAAACTACATTAATTGATATACTTTGATTAGATCGGATTTGATTTGTTCAAGATTCTGTTTAAAATTCTCTTGAGCTTTGGCATTCTTAATTTGCTATTTGTATTGCTCCTAATTAAGGGTTTATTGAAAGAGCTCGATTTACAATTCTGTTTCTTTGTTCCAGGACAATTCCAACTGTTCTAATAACTCTTCCATGTACAAACAATCAGTTTTGCATTGTAGACACACTTTTTCCTTTTTAAGGGGTTTCAACATGGAAGATGAGATCTAGGAAGTAGAATGAGGTAGATGGCTACTTTGAATTCATTTTTATTGCAATCAAGACAAACTACAAGTCCGCATCTTTTACATTTAGATTTGTTTTGTTTGATAAAGGAGAATTCTTTATTACATATGGAACACTGCTTATCCATTAATTAATATAATATTAAATACACAAAAGTTTGAAACAATCAAAATCTTAATGATTTCTCGCTTTTGATTCCTCCAAACCTCTCACTCAATAAGCCTTTGATTTTGACGTAATCATTATAACTCCAAGATTTCCTTTAGTCTTGTTCATTTAGCATGTTTAAGGCCTAAAAAGGATTATTTAAATATATTACCTAGCCCCAAGTAACGAATCTCCCTTTGATTCTCAGTCTTTCTTCAGCAACCTTCTACCTAATGTGATAGTGCACTTTCTTCTCATAAGTACGATTATGTTTTTTTTCTAGATATCTCTTAACTTTCTATTTCCTTGCCATTTCCTTAAGAGATTCATAATTGGTTGATGTACACAATTATTCAACCCAATCTTCAAATTTTAGGGTCTCTTCATCGTTCAAAATTTCATCACATAATCCAACCTTGATTCTGAGCAGGTCGTCCCCTTTTACGTAATTTGAAATGAATTCATCTTGCTTTTAAGAAGGAGTAAAACGCATGTTCAATTCCTCTAAATGATAGTCGACATTGGAAGGAGCAGGGAGATTCTTAGGATAGGAATATCTCTTCTGATTATCCCTTTGCAATTGTTCGGCTAGTCTTTCCAAATCTCCCATCATTTGAACTTCTGATTACTCGGCTGTAGTGTTTTCCTACCAGGTGCACACTTTCTTTTTAGGATCTTCGTCCAAAATGAATTCATCAAAATTAACAGGGTTTGGTTTTTTTAATTGTAATAACTACTATGGTGAATAGACTTACAACTGAATATCATCCTACTATTCTTCCAACTAGTTCATTTAAAATAGAATCATTACCATCTCTTAATCAACAACATAATGAGGTTCTTCGTATGTGAATGAGTTCTCTTTTTCAATCTCTGTATTCTCTAGTTTGTCACATGTCACTTCACTCAGCTCTTTGATAGTATTCATTTCTAGAACAAGATTTTTATTTTAGTTTATAAATCTTTTTATTTACTTCTAAATTATCAAAACACTTATATAGATGACAGAAAAATCATAGAAAATTGATACCCTATATTATTGACATTTGATTCAAAAATCTTAATAGTATAAATTAAAATCAAACCTAAAAAGAGTTCACATTAGTATTCTTTATCATTAATATTTAATTTTAAATCAATCAATTAATATACGAATGGCAACACTTGGAGAAGTATTTCAAGCTCTCTTATAAGAAGTAGACAATGCTAGACTTGATACTAACAATTTGGAAGCAGCTCTATTGAAATTGCTGACATTCGGTACATTTTAATCATGATACAAAGATTCAAAATCTGAGGAGCATTTGAAACACAAGGAAAGCGCATATAGTAAATTGTCTTCATTGTATTGCAAACAGAACAAACCACAATTAGTATTTCAGATTATGAAAACCCATGATTTCTCTGGATTCAATCAAACAAGAGCTGCAAAAATTATGAGACAAATGATTGATCAAGTATCACAATTAGAAGGCACTGTTGAATTATAAGTTGAAATGTGTCAATTCTTAATCGATCAATGTGCACGAGACAAGAAGAATTACTTAAAACATAAGATGCAAATCAGACTGGCAACATTGTATAATGAATAAGAGAAATTCACCCAAGGAATCGAAATCATCGATAAGATTGTGGTTGAAGTGAGAAAGGCTGATGATAAGCATTTGCTTCTGGAAATCTATCTTATTGAAAGCAAATTGCAATTCGGATAGACCAATCTCGCCAAGGCCAAAGCCTCATTAACAGCAGCCAGAGCTTGCTCAAACACAATCTATTGTCCACCACATGTTTAAGCTGAAATCGACATGATGGCTGGTGTTCTCTATGCAGAGGAAAGAGATTATAGAACCTCCTATTCCTATTTCTACGAGGCTTTTGAAGCATTCAATAACCTAGAAGACAAGAGAGCTCTTAGTACTCTTAAGTACATGTTGTTATGTAAGATTATGATTGGAGCTACTGATGAGGTCAAATAAATTCTAACTGGAAAGCATGGTTTGAAATATGCAGGCAGAGTAATTATGTGCGTCTAATTAATATTAGCACTTGGAAGCCATGAAAGCCATTTCTAATAGCAATTAAAAGAAATCTCTCATTGAATTTACTAAAGTCTTAGAAGAATATAGGGAAGAAATTGAAGGCGATAAAGTCATGAGATTACACATCAAGTAGTTATATGAAGTCTTATTGGAAATGAATCTGTTTCAAGTCATCCAACCATATTCTAAAGTTTAAATCGATTATATCACTTAAAGAATGTAAATTGACGTCGAAATTATCTAAAGAAAGTATAGTATCAATTCAATATTTACTAGATTATCTGAATTGATTTTGGATAAGAAAATTGATGGAACCTTAGATTAAGGAAATGATTGTTTGATCTTGTTTGATACAGTCAAACATGATAATTTATATCAACATTCCCTTAGTTTGATTAATAATTTGAATGGAGTGGTTGATAAATTATTTGATAGAGTGAAAGTCAAATGAACATTAAATATATATATATTATAATAAATAAGTTAAATTTCATCATTTCTGCTAAGATTTGACTTATTCAACATTTTAAATATATTAGAAAATTAATAAATTTCTAAAGTCTTGAAATCTATTTTAGATGCTAAGTTCGTAAAGTCTTATTAAAAAACTGAAATTAATATATTCAAATTTAAAACATATTAATAGGTAATAATAATGTAATCTCAATAATTTAGTCATATATGAATTTATTTAAGAATGATATTAACATTGAATAGGAATAATAAACAATTGAATATGTCTTCAAAAATATTAAAAAATACTTTCTCCAATTTATTAAAATTATGATTCTAAATATTGATGTATAATTATATATAAATAAAAGTTACACTTTGATTTAACACCATAAGGTTTACAAAAAAAGAAAAAAATATAAGCTTATTATTGGGAACCAATATATGGGGACTTGATTTCTATATTATTTAAAAAGATAAATATTGGATAGAATCATCAATTAATACAATGCACAGCAAATTTAGATAAGCGTAACTAAGTTCTTGCTAAAAGATTGCTAGGTGCAATAAGCTTTTTTTTTTGAGGAAGAATACGTTTATTTAGGGCGATACTATATTCAGATTTGTATGGAGGATGATTTTTCATAGTTTTGATAATAGTTTATTTGGTTCTTTTTGAAGTAATGTTTAGATCATCTGGTTCAGTGATTTATTATCTACTAGTTTGAATTAATTAATTTATGTTTTTATCTATTCGTGTCAATTGTGTTTTAAGTAAGTTTAAAAAGTAGGTATTCGATTTTTTTGGATGTTAATATTGCGAAAACATGGAGGGTATCTTCTTGTTTTAAGGATAATCTTTGATTTCATCTTGTGAACGAGGAGTTGATGTTTGTTGTGGTGAAGGATGATTGATGGGAGAATGTAATTGTTAATGATTACGAGAGTATATATGGATATTCTTGTATTTTTGCTTAGATCTAATATATTTATCGGTGGGTTTAAGAGTATTTAAAAGTAAATTGGCGAGCCTTATTTTTCTGTGCATATGTATTTCATATAATTGGTTGGGCAATGTTATTTGTTTGATATTTGAACTGGAACAATGGGAACAATGACAGCTGTTCCTACGAAGTCTGTTCTGAGAAGGGGTGTATGAACTTTGATGAAACGAAATTGAATGAAAGGATCGAATCATCATAAAATATAAATTATAATATATATAGTTTACTAGTAATTATATCATCCACATATAAATTTTTTCGTACCAATAAGCTATGCACATTTTGAGCACTTATGTTTAGCATCTTTACAATTATCAAGTAAGCATGGGAGGAAAGCCAAAACAGCAGTAACTATACCTGCAATGAGGATAATCATTACGATATAACTACATCTACCCATCTCATACTGAACATCTGATTCTACGACTTGATTGCATCTAGTGCAAAGTAATTTTTCTTTTTATCTTGACTGTGGCACTTTTGGATACTCTGTTTCCTATTCAATAAGCTTATTCCTGACTGATAGTTCGATTTAACTAGATTTTACCAATTAATAAGTTCCCTGGGACTGCCCACTTCTGGTTTGTTGATTGTTCTAATCTGATTCCATCATCGGATTCGAAATCATTTGATTTTTAATTATTTTTATATATAGATTATCTATTGGAATTGAGAAGTGATAAATGTAGTATTTAATCACTTCGTTTATTATGTATCTCAATTACTAAATCTTTTTCATTTATTTATATGAAATTCTAAATTTTTTGATTAAATTCATTTAAATAAATGGAAAGGTGTCTCTCTCACCCTTTTTTCTAATCTAAATTCATCTCTGCACAGCCGGTGCTTGTTTAACGATTTACTTTTAATAAATTATTTCGTCTCCAAGAACTTTGAATTTAGATATTAACTTTTCAAAAATTTGCAAAAACAACTTATTTTAAACAACACTAACTTTATTTAATATAATTAAATCATTTCCAATGATCAGCATATGAACTGCATTTTTTACATTGTTTCTCCTTGTAAGTATGTCCAATCATAGAATTGCATACTTCTTTGTGCAACTTCTCAGTCTCAATTTTCTCACATTTATCACTGTTCTCATAACATACAAAAACCTTCCCCTAATGATCCACATACTCTCCATTACACTCTTTGATACTCCTACTAAGGCAATCAATCTCCTTACACTAATCCTTTTCAAATTAGCATCCTCCTTGTTAACAAACATCTTTGTCATAAATGGATTTGCAGTTATTAATAAATGAACTTCGAGCCTTGCACTTCTTATCCCAATAACAAATAGAATCTATTTCCAATGGATTACTCTTAGCAATCAAGAAACTATCACATGTAAATTAATCATAAATATCATCACATTTCTCTGGTTTGAAACAATACCCACTTACAAGATCATAAGCACATTAATATAATTAGCATTATTCTCTAGCCTGTCCAACATTACTTTAACTTATTTGAATATCTTCACATTTTGTCAATTTCTCACATTTCCCATTCTTTATGAAACAATAATGAGGACTTTAACTCAAGAATTAAGATGCGCTTATGCAATTCTATAATGACCTTTCATCACATTCAGCCACTCTGCATTCTGACTTTGCCCAATGGCAATTGTGACCTTCACAAGCATCTTAATCTATGTGCTCGTTGCAATCACATGCTGTTGGATAATCAAGTGCCCCATTTATACAATACAGAAATCCAAATATATAAAAAATTATCATTAATTATAATCAAATTTCACATCCAAATTCTTCTAATTCATTTTTTCACTAAAATTAGATCCTGTTCCTTTATGATGTGTTAATTAATTATAATACCTTAATCATTTGCTTTTGATATTTTTCGTATTTTCTTTCTCTTTTTTCTATTTTATACAACCTCAACATCTTTAAAACAGCATTAAAAGTGTGAATAAACTCTCTATTATTCTTTAGACCATAGCCACTAATAAAATGGAATCGAAATTCTTATTAAAATTACACAACCATTTCCTTGAGTTACTCTTCCTTACATTTAATAAGTTATTCTTAAAAAATCACTTCTTTTAACTCACTTTTAAAATATTACAGTTTTCTTATTTAAAAAAAAATCACCAAAATTAAATTATTATTTTAAACGTAAACAGCACTTTTGAGAATATAAAGTTCAATAAAAATAATTAAACTTTTGCATTTTAAGATCATTTTAATCATCAATATGATACATTTTTGATTTATAAGAAAATCTGCTTTGCTTATTTAAATTTTAGGATCTAAAGGTTAGTTTGGATATTTATTATTTTCTCCCTCAGATTTTGTTGACACGGTTATAGTATTTTAGTTCTATAGCTAACAGTAAATTTACCCATTTATTTATTTATCTTTGCTCACATTTATTAATTTAATAAATAAATATCATTATAGATTAGGAAATAAAAAAGCTTGAATAACTCAAATAATAAGAAATATTGTTGATGTAATAGATTTATGAAAAGAAAGTATTGTTAATTTTGAAAATTAGATTAATTACTTGAATACAAAAATATAATTATTAACAGAGGAATCAAAATAAAAAGATATCGTATTACAAAATCTCAAAAATGCCTCTTCAGAGAATCAATTTGAATAATAGGATAAAATTCAGGATTTAATGAATTTAGGATTGTAAAAATAAAAAATGGAAGATCAACAGGATAAAGAAATTTAGAAGGTAAAACACAGTACTAGATTGATTTATAAAATATTCATCAACAAATTAGAAATCGGGACTCTATTCTAGAATAAATGAAATTAGAGATTAAAATGTTTGAGCAGTTCTCAAAATAGAACCTCGACCATTAAAAAGTGCAAATCCTTTCTCAAATCATTGATGTTAGCAATTAATTGCTTGTTTAATTATGATTTCAAATAAAAATAATATGTTATAATAATTGTTAAGGTTTACAAATATGATTTAAGTTTGGAAATTGATCGGAGTATGCTAAAAATAGATTTTATATATTTAATGAATAACAGATAATTACAAATATATAAATATCTAATTAAATGAAATACGCTTTGCTATTTCTAATTTTTGAAGTCGTCTTTGTAACAGCTTAATTGTGCACAGAAACAAACTCAGTTTAGAACTATAAGTACAAAGCTAACAGTCCCAACACCTAAAATAATGAATGGAATTACCAATCCATAACATGTATTAATATATAATCTAAATTTAGCATTTTAACAGTGTAAACAAGGAATAACGTCAGATACAAAAAACTTTGACATCTCTCAAGTGTCCTTACTAAATCCCAAAATCAGTTTAGATGTTGAAGACATGATTTAGTTAGTGATGGATAATGCTTCAGGACCACTGGCTTAATATAAGACTGATTAAATCAAATTGACATCCTGGGGAGCCACTAACATTGCAAGATATCAATCTGTGTATTTCACAATTGGAAGTGCAGAGCATAATTTTGATTTTTGGGCAAAAGCTCCTGATGCTGAAATTCAAGTGTTTTTCATTTAGGATTAAATCTACCAATAATGTGATGTCGAGCCTCTTTATGCAGTATTATCAATACCAGTCTATGGATTGACAGAGACCCAGGATATCAGATATGCAATTAACCTGAATGTTACAACAAATCTTGATTAAATTACAGATTTCGATTTCAAATAAAACATTCTTGGTGCATACAATTCAGATATGACAAGCTTTGTGTCTTATAAAGCACCACTCAACATCCCGTAAATATTTAATCATATGATTTAATAGGCCATGTGGAAATACCAATTGGTTTGTGTTGACATAACCTTAATTGATTAAACAATCATTATTGTTTGGATTATTGGGATTGAACTTTGAGAAAACTTTATAAAGAACTTAGTTGGATGGAACAAATTTGAATTTCATAAAAGGAGTAAATTTTATTGTAATTCTACATAGCGATTCATTTTTGAAGGCGAAGATAATATGAAGGATTATGATGATACTGTAGAATGGGCTGCTACCTGGGTTGCATCAATCATTCCATGCTTATTTTTTGCATTGATTGTTTGCGTCTATGGTTAATATGAACTATCCAACATTGGAAGATTTAAGAGACCCGAAGCTAAATAACATGAAGGAATGGAATAAGAAGCTTTACATTAGGATGATGCAGTGGAAAATAAACTTGCATGACATTATGTTATATTTATTGTCAAATTTACCAATATTTATTGTTTTAATACAGAACCCTCAACTCTTATGGACATACCAAAGAAGACTCCCTTAAACCCAGTGACTAATGTTTATAACTTTAATGGAAAGACTCTTCCAAAAACATCAGCATTTGTTGTAAAAATATATCTAAAGAAATTTGATGTTGTGGAAGTACATGCATTGGGGGAAACCATTTCAAAGGCAGTAAGGGTGGTTGAATAACTTTAACGACAACGTACTTCCTCTAAAATAACATTTAGATTATGTCACAATTGAGAAAATCAATACATTCACTTAGAAATTTGAAGATAATAGGTCCAAAGCAAAATTAGTTGTTACTTTAAAGGTAACTGATGATGGAAAAAAAAGAGTAAATGAGGAGATTAAATAATGATAGCCATATAAATATATTATTAATCTATCTGTTTTTGCTTTAAATAAGGATATTAAATGGAGCAAAAAATTATAAATTAATATGAATACATAATATTGGCTTGATATAGAAAATCATATCCTGTAATAGTATTAGATCAAGAATGCTTTAGGATAAGGATCATACGGTAAAGTATGGTTAGCTATTGATCGTAGCAACAACAAAAAATACGCTATAAAAAAAGTACAATCAAATTATTAATTTAAGATTTACGGAGCATTTAGGGATAGTGTCGATGCAAAAAGAACTGTTAGAGAAGTGTCTTTTCTTTATTAACTATCTCATCATTAAAATATTGTTCGCTTGGAAAAAGTTATCTAATCATAAAATTCGAATGACCTCTATTTGGTTTTTGAATATGTTTCTTCAGATCTCCATCAAGTACCAAATCTTAAAATTTAGGTAATTCACTCAACAACACTGGTGCCTATTCAACAAAGGTTTATAATTTACTAAATACTGAAAGCCTTAGACTATATTCATTCTGGTGGATTAATTCACAGAGATTTAAAACCCTCAAACATACTCATATCAACGAATTGCTAAATTAAGCTAGCGGACTTTGGCTTAGCTCGAACATTTTAAGATACAGATGAAAGTATTTTTTCAATAAATCTAAAAGCAACATGCGGATATACCTAAAATGTGGCAACAAAAGTATATCGGGCTCCAGAGATACTCTTTCATTCTAAAATATATACCTCTAAAGTTGATATGTGGAGTATGGGCTGTATTTTATATGAGATGCTTTCTGGCTAAGCTCTGTTCAATTCGGATTATTATTTTGGTTAAATTGGCGAATTGATTCAAATTCTAGGAGTACCAAACAGAAGAGATATATAATCTTTCAAGCTTGGAGAGTCTGATTCTCAAGAGCTTGAATAGTTAACTTCGGGTGTATAAAAGAAAACTCCAAGGTTAAATGAAATGATCAGTAATTTTGATCCATTCGCCAGAGATTTTATAAGGTATTTATGTTATTTTGAGTTTTTCTAGAAATTGTCTCAAATATAATCCTATAGATAGAATGTCTGCTTCAGAAGCTTTAAAGCATCCATATTTTTAACATCCTGATTTATTTGACTTAGAATTAATAAATTAACGTTGTGGTGCATCACCACCATCTCCAGTTGACTAATTTATAACTTTAAAAAATGATAATTATTCGTATTCAGTACAAGAATACAAAGATGTTTTGGATAGGTTTATTAAATTTAGAAATGGAAACATCTACTAGTTCAAAACAGAATACAACTAAAATATCTCAACTTAGAGCAGTTAAAATATCATATAAACACCTTATACAACCGTCTCTGCTAAAAATAAACCAACTCAACTGTTTCATTCGCCAAAATTATAACAATTTTAGATAAAAAATAGAACCTAGAGTAATTATTTCGAATCTAATAAAAGTTGTTCTTTAATTAGTGAACAAAAAAATAATACTTTTCACAAACCCTTGATTAATAAAATAACTAAAAAAATGCCCAAAAATGAATTAGAAGCTATCAAAAATAAATATAGTCAAAGAAATGGAAGGAGATAATCGCTTTTAACAAACTGTTCTCAAGGTTAAAGTCCTAATCATGGAAATGAATGATATTACAATATTATTAAATTATTTTCATGAATTTAACATAATTAGAGTCCATATTTTAATCACTCAATTCTCAAAAAACGCCTCCTTCTTAATGGACTATTGACTAAATACGTAACTTTTGTGATCATTACAAACTTGAATGGGCCAAAGAGATTTTAAGGGTATTACATTCATGCTTATAATATTTAGATTCATAATAATAAACAATTAAATGTAGATCATCTACTTATAAACAACGTGCTTGGTGCTAAACAAAAACGACATCATGAAAAAGTCTAAGATAAGATCTCAATTTTAGAAGCTTAAGGATTATAGAATGATGTTATAAAAGAAATTTGTTTGGCAGATCAATTCTTTTATCGAAACTTTAGTGATAAAAACATTCATTATCAAATCATTAAATTGAAAATATGGTCATTCATCCTCAATATGTATGAGGCTAATCGTTTTTCACTTAAAAGATTATAAGGATTGCATAGAAGTAGAATTTGTTCAAGAGGAAAATGTTGTAGGTGTTCTGGACCTGAAGGAAAATGTACCTGTGAATTGTTGTAGGAGATTTTATAGCAAATTACTTGTTATACTAAATAAATATTTACGGCAGATAAAACCATTTAACATAGAAGAAATAATGATATCTACATTAAATCCAATTTGATAAAACTATTATTTACTAATTTGTAATATTTGCCAAAAGAATCTCCTCTTTTTTGGGATGTTGAATAAGTAAGTGTTCTCTTAAAAATTATTAAATTGAATTGTTTAGATGGGCTTTTTAAATAAAACCTTATCGATGGATTTGTAATTTCTGTTTTAGGAAGATGTCCATTTACAGAAACAAGTTAATTGCTCAAATTATTTGATTTTAACTTATAACACAATACAAAAATTCAAAATGTTAGACTTTAGACACATTCTAAACTTACTTAACTTTAAAAATATACATATATTCAAAATGTGTTTTTAACTTTATTTTACTTAGCCAACACATTAAACCAAACTATTTATAATTGTTTAGAAATAGATCAATTTTAAACAGAGGGATAACAAATTAGTCATTTTGATTATTATGATTTATTCTATTTTAATGTAAAATGTCCATAGGTTTGGAAGAAATCTCCAGATAAAAAAGCTCAAACTTCAGATGACTTGGAAACTTTTAAAGTCTTTAATTTAGAAGATGGTCGTCATGAATCAATTGCCATAGATGCTTTCAGATCAAATTCTGTAGGTGTGTAGCATAATGTTAAAACCAATGTGGACTTGTAGAAAATTCAGAAGGCTAATTCAGGTATTGAAAGCAGTGTACGTTAAAGATAGGATCTGAAATATTGCTAATAGGAACTAGAGTAGAAAGCTTAGAATATTTCATCTGAGAATTGCATAACAAATGAAACTACTACTACTGAAGCGACTCCACTAATCGATTCTGCTAAAAATACAGTTGATGGCTAAAAAGCAATGTAAGAATCAGTTTATTTTCCATAAAAATAAGAATTGTAAGAGAGTGTATATTTCTCTAATCCAGGATAATAATAATAAATGCAAGAATCAGTGTATTTTCCACAACAAGACAATAAGCCTATGCAGGAATCCGTGTATTTTTCTTAAACAAAAGGATAGCAATAATAAATGTAAGAATCTGTAATGTTCCCTTAAAAAGAGTAATTTCAGATGCAAGAATCAGTGTGTTTTATTCCTCAAAAATAGTAAATGCAAGAATCAGTTTTTTTTCCTTAATAAGAACAGTAAGCGTAAAAGATGGAAGGGTCTGTTTATTTTTCAAATCAAATGCAAGGATCAGTAGCTTTTCCTGAAAATCAAAATTAATAATTGCAATAATCGGTAATGTTGCAGGAGCCTAAAATTAATAATTTAGGTTAATCTGAAATGGTAGGATAATCAATAATGATGAGTTAATCTACATTTACTAATAATAATATTAATAACACTAGTAATAATAAACCAAATATTAAAAATAATTATCCAGATCCTATGGGACAATCCATTAATATAGATTAAATTATTTAGGAAGTGTAACAACCTTAGGATAAAAAAAAATAACAAAAGAGTGTAAAACTAAAAGTTTCATTTTAAGAAGGAGATGAAAAGAAGAAGGGAGAAATTCAAAATAGAACACCAACAAGATAGAAAAGAATTAAATTAATTACATCAATTGAACAAGCTTCTTTGTAAAGTGTTATCTAAAATCCATTTATTTTAAATGTCAGTCATTAAATGAAGATAAAGTCTGAGCAATTTCATAAAGTATAGATTATTATAAAATGAAATAGATATTGCTTATAAATTTGATTGGTGCAACTTTCGGTAGAAGTCAGGATAATCAGTATGTTTTGTAAGATTAATCCAAGATCTCCTCCAAACATGCAAGGATCACAGTTGTAAATGGTATATTTATGAAATAGAAAAGATAGGTTTCATTTGTAGGATTTAGGGTCCAAGAGAGGGACTTTCTTAAATGCTAATAAAATGAGGATATAAAAGGCTATGGTGTTTTATATTGGAGACAAACAAGCTTTTCAAATTTTAGAAGTTAATGAAAAAGAGGGAACTATAACGTTTGCATTTGATAAGGAATTAATTGATACAAAATAAGTTAATCTTAAGATTGGGGAAACTTGGTGTATAGGAAGGGATTTAAAGCGAACCCATTATCAATTTATAGGATATCCTATTCATCAACTATTATCTCAGATTCATTGCATAATTTCTTATGTTTAAAAGGATGGGGAACCAAAATTTATTATTGATGATTAAAATTCAAAAAATGGTACTTGGTTAAGATTGAGCGACAAGAAATTACTTAGTGAACCTTAGCTGTTATTGAGGAACAGTAAATTTAATTTGGCTTTTGAGATACAATATGAAGTGATTGATGTGTATTATTAAAATAATTAATGAATAATAAAGAAAAATAAAGCATATGGATATAAAAAGAAGGGCATGATAACCTTGAAAACAGTATATTAGTTAATGTCAATACAGGTGAAAATAGTTAACCAACATCTTGTATTAAAGCCAAGAAAAATTAGAATAAGCAAGCATGCCATTGTGGCATCTTTTGATAGACAAAGTTTCTTAAAACTGATTTTAAATGATATTATCTTCAAGAACTGTATTATTGAAATATTAATAATTTTATGACCTTTCTTGATAGGAGATTCAAAGATGTTAAAGTCTTTGCGAAGTTTTTAATCTCACGATTAATATTTTCTAATCATTTTTAATCTTTTAATATATATTATAACATTAGTTATTTAAATCCTTCAAATTTCGATCGGTAGCTTGGAATTTTCTTTACATAAATCATACTTTATTTTTTCTTTCATTTTTAAGAATCCGAACAAACCAAAATAGCTTAAACATTTGTATAATATTAATGTGTATATGATTCGAATTATTCAAAAAAATCGTTAACGAAACTTAAAGAGGATGTCTCTTGCTTTTCAAATTCATATTTAATTCATGTCTATTTAACATCATCAACAATTAATTAATAAAAAAATTAAATAAGAAAGCTACAAATTACATTTCTGATAGTTAATTATATTAATCATATTTATTCAAATACATCTAAGTAGCATTAAATTGATCTTGTATTTCAATAAAATCAGAATCAATCAATTTATTATTATTCGATTAGAATAATAGGAAATATAACAAATTTGGGAGAGGAATAATAATTTGAAATTTACTCCAAAAATTGAGAGGACTCCATAGGAGCTATGCTTTAATATGACTAGTATATTGTTTTATTAAATAATCATATCATATTTTATTGAGAAGATTGGTCTCCTACTTTTTTTAATTCAAAATCCTATTATAATTCTGGATATTGAGAGCTAGTTTTCTGTAGTTACCTTAATATATCTAAAATTTAAGAATACTCTTGCTTTGATCCAGTCTTTTTATAGATAACATTTATTCCTTTTCAACTAACTATATATTACTACAGCATTAAATATATATTAACACTTTTATGCTAATTTTCATCTTTTTTTTGATTTCATATCATTCTCTTCCTCTATTTCATCTTTTTCCATAGTTTGTAATTAATTTTAAAACCTGGATTAGAAGCAATTTCTTCCAGATCTTATGAATAATGAATTTGTTATCTATATTTTCTAATTTTGCTTAAAATTAATTTTTTTCCCCATTATTAACTTAATTTCTTTTTTAATTAAAGCGTTTATTATATTCAAAAATAGAAATAAAGCAGAACTTTAGAGCAGTATACTCATTGCAGAAGTCAAAGCTTGTTTTGTCAGTGCTTATGAAATCATTTTAAGCTGATTGGATAAAATTGTAAGAGGTTTAGGTTGTGAGTGTGATAAAATACTTAAATTCAAACTAATAGCTTTTGTTTATGGAGTAGATTCAGGTTTAAAAGCCTATCTAAGTGCTTACTTTGCTAACCTTATTCAAAATATAAACTTCTAATTGTTTGTGTGTTATTATGTCCAAACGCTGAAAGTTAAGAGTTGAATTGTTTGAAATACTCAGATATCTGAGTGTATGAAATGAATAACTGTGTTATACTATTAAAAAAGATTAGTTTATTAAGTCATTTGAATAAAACAGGAAATGTTGCATACATACGTCAGTAGAATATTATTAAGGAGCCAAAGATTATCATGCCCTAAAATTGTAGGGATTTTAAATGACATATCTATTTTAAGATTAAAAAGATTTCATAATAATTGTAAGCAAATTCCCAGAAATTTTTAACATATTGAGATGTATATAGTAGGAACCTTTTAAATTTGTGTCTTTAAGATTCTTAATTTCTTTCTTATTACTACTTTCTTGTAAAGTATTGATCATTAAATTAGTTTCTAAGGTTGATCTGGATTATAATGTTATCAAATGGAGTTACTAATCAACTTAATTAGCTATTTTAAATTTGGATCAATAATATGATTGGTTATTATTAAATAGACATGGGCAGATATGTTCAAACTCTATTGTGTATTGATGCAGCCTGACATTTAAATTTATAAATTATTAGAAATATCTTGTTGATTTCTCAATTAAAATTGATAATAATTTGTTTGTATAATATAGTTGCTAATACTGTTAAAAGAAGATGAAATATATTTTAATGACTTTCAAGCAGATATTCATATTCTATTCAATGTATTTGCTAACCTCATTTGTGTAGCACTGTGCTATGGATAAATTTCATCATAATTTTGGTGAATAAATAATTTTTTGCTTTAATAAACTGATTAGATTAATATATATTAACCTTTAATACTTGTTTTTATTTTTGGAATCATCAGATTTACTATTCAAATGTAGCTAATAAAGATACTATATGGAATAAATCTATTTCATCTAATACTTGTATTTTTAATGTTTGCCTATATTGCTGCCTAAAATATGAGGAAATGGATTATTTTAATCATTAGTAAAAATGAAAACATCTATAATTGACAGAGTATGGAAATTCTGAGAAGTAAAGTTTAAGCAAATGATATAGAACTAGAGGATGAAATTCCTTGTATATTATTAATAATTAATTTATTTTAGGAATTAAAATAAAGGGTCGAAAGAACACTCACAAATTTTAGGAAGCAGATCGTGATGGTTGTGCTTTATATACATACATAATATTGAATTAAATATTATGTAGATTTCTCAAGAATGCTTATATGTTTAGATTATGACCATAAATTTAATTGAGAAGATTAAGTTTATAAAATTACATGAATTATAAAAAATATTATTTTAAATATGATTGGAACTGAATTTAAGATTGTTGATGGTTACGTGGTAACAGGAAAGTTCTTGGGATCAGTATTAAATTTGAATATAAGGGTGCCTTTGGTTCAGTTTACAGAGGATATAAAGAGAATGATCCAAAACAGATTTGTGCTGTCAAAGTGTTGCCAATGATTGAAGCTACAAATAATAAAAACTTCATGAAAACAATCAAAAGAGAAATAGAAATATTAGGAAAAATAAAGAGCTAATATATTGTTTAGTAACAATCACATTTAAATATTAAGAATGTATCACGCAGCAAGAACGGCACGCAATTTTTACATATTTTTAGAATATTGTAATGGAGGCAATCTAAGAGAATTGATGAAGCAGAAAGGAGGATACTTGTCAGAATAAGATGCTCTAACATACTTCAAGCAGATCGTAGAGGGCTTCAAAGCAATTTATCAAGAAAATGTGATGCATAGAGATATTAAACCAGCTAATATTTTATTACACAATGGTAATAAGTCAACATTGATTTAATAGGTGTTGCTAAGATTAGTGACTTTGGATTTGCCAGAATCGTGGATGATATGGAAGGATAAGACAGATTCACACTTTTGGGAACCCCTTTGTATATGACACCCTAAATCTTGGAATAAAGTAAATTCAATTCTAAATGTGACATATGGTCTTTGGGAATCATGTTCTACGAAATGCTCTATGGTCATACTCCTTGGACTGCCAATAGTTAGTTATCTCTCTTGGATTAGATCAAGAAGAAGCCTCTGGTGTTTCCTGAATAACCAAAGAGACAACAAATTATCAAGGACTTGATTTCTCAAATGCTGATCATTGATGAGGAGAAGAGAATCAGTTGGTATGATATTTTTGAACATCAATTAATCAAGAGCAACAGCTAAGAGTTGAAGAACAAATTGAATCTAATCATTGATAGTGTTTAAGACACTCTTGAATAGTCGGTGCAAGTCAATAGATTTTATATTGACAACAATCTTGTCTTGGAATAAGGAAAGCAGCAGCAGGAACTATTTGAAGTTAAGGAAAGCGATGAAGCAAATACTCCAGCAGATAAGGATCTTGGATAATAGACTTTTGAGGATCTGAAGGGATTGACCTATAATGACATTATGGAAGTGTAGACCAAAAAGCTATAGGAATAAATTACCAATAATAAAATAGATGCTTATTTAACACTTTAAAGAAACATTGGAATATTCGTGAATCTATCAACCAATTACATTTTTGATTTGTATAAAGAGTAACTTATCAGTATTCCTACGCATTTATTTTATAGAATTCTTTTTATTCTTTAGAAAAAGTAGATGATTATCTTCGAAGATCTTACAAATATCATGGCCAGCAAGGTACTCAAACTATAATAATCTCTAGATTTAAATTAATAATGGCTTTACAGATCAAGATTGGAAACTCTATAAAAAAAATAAACAATACTTCACCACACTCAAGGCCATCAAAACTGATAAATATTACATCAAGCCATATTATGAAGAAATAGCCAAAAGAACCTAAACCTACTTGAACAATTAAATAGCATAAAATAAGCTAAATGAATAAGAGCAGTAGGATTTAAATGAGTTCTTATCCATTATGGCTAATGGTTTAATATAAGATCTAGCATTCAATTCAGTCTATGAGAAGACACTGAAAATTACCTAAAGACTAATGTATGAACAATTATGCTAGTAAAAAAAACTTACAGAAAATAAGAACTTCCTATTGGCACTTAGATATTTGGTCTTGTGCTTGAGTCCTGAAATGTATTTTAGACAATAAAAAGAATTTCCAGATTTCAATAAATTTTATGAACATTACAATAATTTAGAAATGGAACAGCTCCTAGAGGAACTTCATAAAGAATTCTCTTCATTTTGATGAAGATTGATATTAATCACAATAATATATAATCCAACAATAAAATGTTAAAATCATTTGCATAGACTATTTAATAACAGAATTAAAATGAAATTAATCAAATCTATTTCATCTCTTTTTTATATTATAATTCTCCTAGGGATCTCCAATATATAATTGCCAAAAATTATGGAAATTATTTCATTAAAAAATATTTGTATAAAATTCTACAAAAATTCTGTTTTAAAAAAGAGCGCTTATCTGCACTAATAGATTCAGACACTTGATTCAGAAGTTTTTAGAAATTGCACATAACTCATGGTTATCAAATCAAAGTTCTCAATTTCAACAAGATAACTAATTAGAAAGAATTATGGATTTAACAGACATCCCTTCTTCTGCTAAAAATAGTCAATGGATTGCTTAGCTACATTTTATTCATCAAGATTTGCTAAAGAAAATTTTGTAAATACTTGAAAGGAAAGAGATACGCTTATCTGAAAAAATGTGATATTTTTAGAATACAATACTAATAAATGATTAGTTGCTCTGAGAGAGCTCCAAATAACGTAACTCATCTTAAAATAGTACAAATCTGACATTAGAGCCTTGAGAATAGTCATTGTAAGTAATATTTCCAAGAAGGAACCTATCAATTTTCTACAAACATTTTTTATAATAATTTATTGTGGAATTACATCATATTTGCTATTATAGCTGTTTAAGACGAGAATCAACATTGAGATAGAAGATAAACTAGACTCATATATTAAAGAGCACTTCAAAGTCTAAAAATTCAATTAAAGAAATTTAAAATAGGATTTCAAAGCAAATCTGTATAATATATAAAAATACTTCTCATAATTAGAAAAATTTAGATTAAATTTAATGAGTTAGGTTGAATCAGTTGAATAATGTAATTCACATGTTGAATAAATCAAATATTCAACACAATATTAAATTTCTAGGAAAAGAGTTTAAGGAGTAAAGTAAGAATAATGTTAGTTAATTAATAAAATATTTAGATGTTTTGTATATAAATTTTAGACTCATTAATTGGAAAAAAGAATAAAAATGATTAGTAATGTATTAATTCATTTCGTTAAGAAATTAGTTTGATCTATAAACCTTTTAAACTCTATTCAAAAATGAGGAGAATATATTTTAGCTGGTAAAGCTGTTATTTGTAAAAAGGAAGATTGCAATATATTCTCTGAAAAGTTGATTTCAGTAATTATTGATTTAGAGGAGCTAGCTGTTATTCAGTTATTCTATAAATCGAATTACTTTTTTTCCTCTATTGCAGTGTAGGGAGATCGGAAGAGGGAGTTTAGAAATTTTGAGGTTTATGAAGTGGGGAGTATGATATGGGCAGATGAATCATATCTTAGTGGATGTCTAATTGGTCAGAATGAATAATGCAATTTTATATTTAATATAATTAAAATCTACATACAATGGATATGCATCCGATCATTTCTACATCAAAATAAAAAGCAATTAAGTATTAAATAATTTTCATAAATTGAGTTGCTGTAGTTGGAGATAAAGGAGTTGGTAAACATTAATTAATTGAGAAAATGCTGGATGTTGAAACGAAAGTGAATGACAGAGATATAATGTCGATTGATTTTTTTATATCATATATATGGATAGGGGATTGCCAGTATCAAACCATTCACTACTGGGTGGTCAATTTGGATTCAAATTAATAACAGTATATTGTTGTAAATAGGAAAGGTTTAAGTCCATGCCATTTATTCCTCAGAGTGACATCTACGTTATCATGTTCAGCCTGCACCAGAACAGGAGTTTGTTCAACGCTCTTCATGTTTGGTTTTAATTGAGTTCCTAAAAAAGGAATGCTCAATATATATTTCTGGGTTCAGACAGTGGTGAATCGAGACAATGTGGTTCTTTCAATGATATCATCAAGATCATAAGGAATAAAATGATCAGATCCTCGCCCAACTTGGAGGAAATTTAAAACGAATCAACTTTAAGGGAAATCAGAAAAACTATTGCATATGTTGATGATTTTATTGACGAATCATTGCCGGAGAACGTGTAATACCTGGAAATCAAAGATTATGAGCATTAGCCGTTCAAGAGGGTGCTAATTAGTTCGATCTAAAATGTGATTAGTAACGAACGATAAAATTTGTATTCAATCAGCGCACCCATATCTCCAAACATAATGCCTTAGTTGTAAAAGTCTGTATCTGAATACCTACAGAAAACAGAGTTTATGGAGAGGAGAGAAAATTCGAAGAGCGTTAAGGACAAGAGACAATCAGAAATAGTTCAAACCCTAAAAATAGACTATTCATTGAATATTTAACCTATTTAATCAACGATGAATCCCAGTCTTTTGACTTTAGAATAGAGCAGCTGTTCTCAATAGGCCAAAAAAGAGACTGGATTTTGTTGCTAATTAATATGATCTAATAAATGAACTGACTGATTATACAATATGTTTCAATTGTAACAAATTATTCAAATAATTTTTATAATGGAATAAGATAGTATCACCATTCTTTCGTAATCCAAGGAAAGACGGATTAAGTATTTACTTATCTTTCATTCAGAGTTATTTTGATTGGAGATCAAAGTGTGGGTAAAAGTAAGCTCCTCGAGTAGCTACTAAATGTAGAGTCCAAAGTTAATGATAAGGAAATATAAACTGTCGATTTTTTCATCTCTCGTGTTATTCNAGGGAGTTTAGAAATTTTGAGGTTTATGAAGTGGGGAGTATGATATGGGCAGATGAATCATATCTTAGTGGATGTCTAATTGGTCAGAATGAATAATGCAATTTTATATTTAATATAATTAAAATCTACATACAATGGATATGCATCCGATCATTTCTACATCAAAATAAAAAGCAATTAAGTATTAAATAATTTTCATAAATTGAGTTGCTGTAGTTGGAGATAAAGGAGTTGGTAAACATTAATTAATTGAGAAAATGCTGGATGTTGAAACGAAAGTGAATGACAGAGATATAATGTCGATTGATTTTTTTATATCATATATATGGATAGGGGATTGCCAGTATCAAACCATTCACTACTGGGTGGTCAATTTGGATTCAAATTAATAACAGTATATTGTTGTAAATAGGAAAGGTTTAAGTCCATGCCATTTATTCCTCAGAGTGACATCTACGTTATCATGTTCAGCCTGCACCAGAACAGGAGTTTGTTCAACGCTCTTCATGTTTGGTTTTAATTGAGTTCCTAAAAAAGGAATGCTCAATATATATTTCTGGGTTCAGACAGTGGTGAATCGAGACAATGTGGTTCTTTCAATGATATCATCAAGATCATAAGGAATAAAATGATCAGATCCTCGCCCAACTTGGAGGAAATTTAAAACGAATCAACTTTAAGGGAAATCAGAAAAACTATTGCATATGTTGATGATTTTATTGACGAATCATTGCCGGAGAACGTGTAATACCTGGAAATCAAAGATTATGAGCATTAGCCGTTCAAGAGGGTGCTAATTAGTTCGATCTAAAATGTGATTAGTAACGAACGATAAAATTTGTATTCAATCAGCGCACCCATATCTCCAAACATAATGCCTTAGTTGTAAAAGTCTGTATCTGAATACCTACAGAAAACAGAGTTTATGGAGAGGAGAGAAAATTCGAAGAGCGTTAAGGACAAGAGACAATCAGAAATAGTTCAAACCCTAAAAATAGACTATTCATTGAATATTTAACCTATTTAATCAACGATGAATCCCAGTCTTTTGACTTTAGAATAGAGCAGCTGTTCTCAATAGGCCAAAAAAGAGACTGGATTTTGTTGCTAATTAATATGATCTAATAAATGAACTGACTGATTATACAATATGTTTCAATTGTAACAAATTATTCAAATAATTTTTATAATGGAATAAGATAGTATCACCATTCTTTCGTAATCCAAGGAAAGACGGATTAAGTATTTACTTATCTTTCATTCAGAGTTATTTTGATTGGAGATCAAAGTGTGGGTAAAAGTAAGCTCCTCGAGTAGCTACTAAATGTAGAGTCCAAAGTTAATGATAAGGAAATATAAACTGTCGATTTTTTCATCTCTCGTGTTATTCTACCTGATAATTCAGAATAGAAAATATTTATATGGGTTACCACTGGGGAAATCAAAAATATGTAACGATATACCCTAATCATACTTATCATAGCAATCTCATTAGAGCATTTTTGATAAAGAGTCACATCTATGTTATTGCATTTTCGCTCAACAATCCAGTATCCTTTGAGAATGCAGTCAACACTTGGTTCGCTCAGTGTTATAAAAATGCCAGAGAAACAAATAACTATTATTATTTTATTGGCACAATGAGTGATAAAGAGCATCTTTGCGGATCTTATCAAGATATTATCTAGAGAATTGCAGACAAGTGTTAAGAACTCAAAATAGAGAAAAATTCATAGTAAGTCCCATTTCCTACAGACAAGGCATACATAAGATAGTCAGCAAAATGGAATGATGACAATATCATTGAATTTGCAAAAAATAAATTGCCAAATAATGTGTAAGTTTTTATAAGGATTAATTAGATTTTACTCAGAAACCTCAGCTGTTATCAAAACAGGCATTGAGAGAAGTTCAAGCATATTCATTAGATTATTGTAAGCAGCAGTGAAGTAGGAATTTGCAAAGGATGGCATAGAGCCCATTATTGCACCTTCAAGAACAGCTTCAAGGTTCTCTATGGCATAAATGTAAGTGCCAATACCTGTAGTTGTACCGACATCATCTGCAAGACAATCAACTCAGACAGGCAGTTTGTAAGTAAGTATGGCAAAAGATCCTGTTCCATTTTTACCTTTCGAATAAAAAGAATCGAATTCATCTTCGATAGCTGAAATTAAAAAGGAATAAAATCTATGTTGTATGATTTAATGAAATATAAATTTAAATTTCTTAACTATTTTCGAATACTCTCCAATATATTTTTGATTATTCACTCCCAATAATATTTTTATTGCTAGTAAGGGATGCAACGACAATGTTCTTAATCCTGATGTATCATTTAAATGAAAAATTAAGTTCAATTAAAATTAATATTATTATTTGATAAAATTATATGGATTCAATTGATGACCTCACTTGTAAATTAGGCTCCCCAATTTCTGATTAATAAACAAATGATACATTATCGCCAATTCAATTGAGAACAAGTGATATATTGTCTGATTTAAAAAAATCAATTGACAACAACAATAAACTACTTTTTGCTCTTAAAGATTAAGTTTTCTATTTCTATCAAATGATGAGGAACATGACAATCAAAGAAAATTATAGTTATCAGATAGCTTCAATTATCTTTTTGAGTGAGTACTAAGATAGCTCTTCATAAAAAGTAGAGAATGTCAAATAAATACTGTAAGAGTGTACTAATTTAAATCTAAAAACCTACTTTATAATATTAAATAATAATAATCGTAAACCGATTCTAAAGGAACTAAGATAGCTAGTTGTACAATTTCCATGTAGTCTAAGTGTTATTGATACTGGGATTCAAAATGTAGATCAGGAATTGGAGAGGATTGCTCAACAATTAAGAATAGGATCCTTTGATACTAGACTGTTCGTTCACATCTCAACAAACAAAGCGATGAAAAGCTACCTTGATGTGTTAATAGATTCTCTGTATAAATTCGAGAAAGGATTGACTTAAAATGATAGAGTGTATTGGTCTTCATGCAAAACAAATTAAAAGTTTACTGCTGTAGAAATTTAAGAGGATGATGAATAGGATATGAGGAAGGCAGGAAAGGAAAACAAAAGAAATGCAATTTTATATGGTTTTGCCCTGTTGGTACTTCTCACAATAATTTGTTATTTATTATATGTTGTAATCATAACGTTAATTTAATGAATTATTATTAATCATACTAAATAATGGATATTTTAATATAATATGCATCAATGAAATTCTGAATATTCCTGTTATCTGGGAGTCCAAGGATTGTCGAACAATGATTTATGAGCATAGTATTAGTAAGCAACAAAAATGATTAGAAGGACAATAAAGATGATGCTGACATAAAATGCTGCAATAACAAGAGAATAGGTGCTGGAGTAGGCATTCTTTGCAAAATGATTTACTTCAGTAATAGCCTAAATTTAGAATGGAAGTTTAATACCTATTTTAAGCCTTCGTCAGGGAAACAGTTTTTCTCCAGATATTTAGAAAATTGAGCATTATGTTCTTTGAGTCCATTCTAAGATAGAATTACAAAAAATACATTTCCATCTACTTCATTCAGATAAACTGCTCCCAGCCCTATACATAAGATGGCTATGATCAATCCAATTCCACACAAGAACTTTGGTTGATGGAAATCAGTCATGTCAATCCATTGGAAAATCTAACATAAAAACAAGTTAAGGTACTCTGTTCTTCATCAGATATAAAATAGGAACCAAGAAGAGGACAACTCCGACACCTATAATAATAATCAAGGACATGGCTCTCTCTGAATTGTAGACTCTTTGTCCACTCTTAGAGATTTGATCGATGTCTTTGGGAGACAATTTCTAGCAAACCTCATTGGAATTAATTTAAATTTTCTTAATGGCTTCTAATGCATACGTATCTTGGTTGTCTTCATAATTTTGATAGAAGGGCAACTAAGATAGTACATCTGCTAAGCCATTTTATTAGTAGGTTTGATGGGCTGAAAATGTATTCAAAGTGATTCTATGGGGTTGTAAGTCTTTGTAGTCATCACAACCGATTTCAGGTCTTTTAGCCAAAGGATAGTATTTGGCAGATTAGAATTTAGGATTCAATTTATGGTTGTAACAAGGTGATGAATTAGCTTCTCCAATTCCTGGTACTACTTCAATGCTAACAATGGGAGAGGAGTTTTCGAATTGTTTAATGTAATTGTCAGTTCCGATTTTAATTGCATTTCTATCATTCTATCTTGAATTGTCTTTGAGTAATCCTGAGAGTGGGCAGTTTTTATTTGCTGGAACACAAACATTTCCGCATTATTTGTAAGAGGTCTCACAAGCAGCCCCTTCCAATGTTTTCCATTCAGCATATAATTTAGTGCAATATTATTTTTATTACCATGTTGTAAATAATTCAGGATCGTGAGATTTCACTCTTTTACAATTGGATTTGTAAAAACAAGTGAGGGAATGACTGATGTCTCCATTCTCACATATACATCCAGATGACACTCCGTCCCATTAACCTAGATGAGTTCTTCCATAGCCATCTGGACACTCTATTGCATCGTGTGTAAAATATGATATCATATTGAGAGCTGAAGCAGATGAAGATGGGGTTGCTACGACGATATCTTCAATTGGAGCCAATTGCATATTATTTTTCAAAGTTTCAAGTGTGTTATGTGCTCCTTCGGGGTTGAGATGTTTAACTTTGGAAGCAAAAAGTAATGCCATAATTAGGAGGATTATGATAAAGAAAGCTATTGGCAATATGTAAAGTAACCAATCTATCAACTACAAATTCAAATTTAACGATTACATAAGAATACTTCTTTGGTTTCACTACAGTAATAGTTTTGTTTGGCATTGGTTGCTGGACAATTATTTGCTCTCTATGAGGCTCAGGCTACACTTTCACTAAAGGAATAGAGCATATAACTACTTTAATATTCAGTTTCAATCGGTGGTTAGGGTTGATATACGGGTTTGGCTAATAATAAATAATGGTGAGATACTGGGTGTGTTGGTAGTATATCCGAAGGGTAGGGGGGCTACTTGTTACTGTGGATTTATGTACATAGATTGGACGTAGGAATTGGGTAACATTGATAAATCAAAATAAAATCAATAAAATTAAGATTAAAAGGGAGTATTGTAAATATTGTGATTAAAATTATATTTATGTTATGCACTTTAATACTGCTCAGAATTGGTAATCTGGAGTAGTGTTGGCCTTTCTAAAAGCAGGTTTACCACATTCCAATAATGCTATTTATTAATTTCAATGGGGTACCATCCTTGAATTGCATACATTTTGATTCATCCTTAGTTCTTACAACACACTAATCATATTTGGAGTACTTTTTACTTCCTTAAATGCAGCCAACTCTCCTGGGCATTCCTGCTTCAAAATAATTGTTCTGGGGGCATTTTCATCTTCTCTTGGGAAACTATTAGATGAAATAGGGTGAGTTATATTACAAAATGACTTTGCTTTCCATTTGAGTTGATCTCTTTTTGGCAGTGGAGAAATTGTATGATCGTGATTCCATTTTAATTAAATATCTAAGATTTAAATTAATCTAAGTAACACACATAAAAATTTTATTCATTCATTCATTATTTCCTGCTCCTAACTGATTTGACTGCCAAATTAAGTGCTACCTTATACAATTGGGAATCGAAAGTGCTGGTCTACTTCATGGATTTCCCAATAGCCTTTGCGGTAGCTGATTTTTGATGATGCATTTGCTAGGAAGATGATTATCCGCTGCTCTATTTAAGCATCGTTGATTATTATGAATTAGTCACTTATCTCGCAGAATGAGTTTATTAATAATATACAAGTTTCTAATCTCCACTCGTATTAATTTATAATGGTTTATCATTTGATTTTGATTTCACGTTGATCTTTCTGTTTGGTTCTCGATTAGACAGAGGCTCTTGAATTTTTACTCTTCTAAATTAATTCAATTCTTTGATGTTCAATTTCTTCCTAGATGATTATCCCTTGAGACGATTTGTTATTTCATATCTCTGTGTAAGACTTCGAGGATCCTACGCAAGAGACAGACTATCAAAATGCACAGTGCAACACTGTTTCGAATCCCTGATTTACTTTTTGGCTAAAAGTGTCTGCAAATCAGACATGACTTTTAATTCTAATTATTACACTTTTTTTGGAAGATGTGGACTTTATTAAGGAGCCCTCGGAGTAACACACTTAGGTGATTTGAGAAGAGTAGCAATTCTTTATTGATTTGGTAACAAGGTACGATTATTTGGAGATTTGAAGTCAACTTCACGAGGAGTCTAAATTGAAAGACTGAAATAAATTACAATATGCAATTGATCAGATTTTAAGGACTGATTTTTCTTTTTTGCAACTCCTTTAGGAATAGATGTCTTGAGCATATTAAGTATACTTGTTATACTTGATTTGCGATGCTGTATAACTGGTTTCTTTTGTAAATTCTATTATTCTTTAAGAGGAGGTTTGTAGTTTTCGTATTTAAAGTTGGGATTGGTAGATTGCATAAGTTTATATTGCTGCAGCTATTACTTGAAGTTCACGAATTGCGGCTTGGGCTCGATGATGCTGATACCTTCAAGGATCTTCTCGCATTTAGACATCGGCTAAGTTCAGGGTGTTCTGTCTTACTTCGTCAGAGGAGCTGGGATCTTGAGCAGTCACCTATTGGCTGGATTACGGCATTGGCGAATCTCCCACTATTCCTTTCGGGGGCTTGTCTGGATTGTTCTTGTTCTCCTGAGCTATCAACTTGGCAATGCGAAAGTACTCCAATCTCCGCTTCTTGTCATGGTAGTAATTCAACGGGATTATGGCTGGAAGCATGAATAACCGAGGGATATCATTATGGAACTAAGGAATAACAATGAAACAGTACTTTGTAGTACTCACCCAACATTTGCAATTTTTCATACATTATGTCACTTTTATAGATTTTACAGAGCAATTCTTCAGGTGTGTCATACATAATCACGTCCTTGTAAAGTATGTTGTTTGCTGTACGGTAATTGTGTAAGATCTCCGTAATGCCCTTTGTGTAATGGTAATTCTAGGATTGCGAGTATTTCAAGAACAAAGAATGACGCATGATTTCTACCTTTATAGCTTATGCATCATTACCAATTAAGGGCGTAGTCTCTTCACAAAAATCACATTTCATTTTGAATTTGTTATATTTATAAAATTATATAAAATAATATTCAAACAAAATTATTCATCTCCACCTTTATAATGGATAAGACTCTTCAAAGAATGATCAGACTAACGCAAAAACAGGTTGATGCCAAATCTAATTGCCACTTCGACCAATATTCCTTCAATTACTAGAAAGATCTCCTTGGCGAGGGATCTTTTGGTAGGTTATATTATCTAAGACCTTTAGTGTGTATCGAGGAACCCAAGGAAATGCATTTGTGGCTATCAAGATCCTCAATCTCAAATTCTACGACAATCCAGCTTATAAACAAGCACTCAAAAATGAAATTACTCTCATGATGGAACTTTAGAGTCCCAACGTTGTAAGGATCTTAGACGTAATACTTGCATTCATACTATAGGCATTATGCGACTAACATGATAATGAGCTCTTCTTGATTATCGAATATTGTGAAGGGGGTGATCTTCGTCACCTATTGTCTCATCAACCTAACTAAAGATTTTAAGAATCAGCTGCTGTTGCTATCATCTCTCAAACTATCTAAGGATTATCAGAATTACTACAAAAAAATTATATGCATCGAGACATTAAAGTATATTTTCATCTAAAATCAGCCCGATAATATTCTTTTGAAGTAAAACACCTATAAAGTTGCTGACTTTGGTCTGGCTACTAAAATTCCACCAAAATAAGTGTTAAGAGGTATCACTTTATAAATAACCCACTTTAGCACAAGCTGGAACACCTTTATATATGTCTCCATAACTCTTAGAGGGTAAAGAATACTCTAATAAATGCGACATTTGGTCCTTGGGCTTAGTCTTATACGAACTCCTTTTTGGTCGAACTCCTTGGTTATGCAGGAGTTTTGATACTTATCTGATGGAAATATAAACCAAGCCTTTATAATTCCCATATGAAATAGAGATCTCGGCTAATGTAAAGGATTTCATTAAGAGATGTCTAAAAATTGAAGAACAAAATCGCATGAGTTGGACAGAATTATTGAAGCATCCTATGTTATAAGTTCAAGGAAAATTGAAACGGTAAGCTACTTAGGAAAGGTTGAACTTTACAGTTTTAGAAAGAGAATACTTATACAATATCTAATTAATATGTGCCCAACATAACTTCTAAGCAAAGGATTTAATGAAGTAATGTGGCAAGACGCATATCAATTAGGAGGAATTTTAGAATATGCTTAGAAAAATTATGAATTCAGATAATGATGAGATTAGTAAGTAATTATTTGGAAAGTTTGATTAATCTAAAGATGGATTGATAAGTGCATAAGAATTTGAATATCTATTTAGTGAATATGATTTTGCACCCATTAATACACTTGCTGTTTAAATTACTCATGAGTTGCAGGCTATCATTAAGATTTATTCAATTTCATTACAAGAGCTATTTCAACAGTTAGATTAAGATAAAAATGGGTTTCTTGATTAAAAGGAATTTGAATTCCTCATTAAAAAAATAGCACCAAAGCTATCTTAGAAAAATATTCTTGAAATATTCAAAAATTATGATTAAGATAATGATGGCAAGATTAGTCTAAAGGAATTAAAATTTGTCCTTTAGAGCAAGAATTATTAGAAATTGAAAATCATTCTTAATAAAATACGCGAAACTCTAATGAAAAAATCAGTATCCACTAATATGCTGTTTACTTCAATAGACACGGATTAGAAGGGATATCTCAATTTCAAGGATTTTGAGTATTTTATTGGGAAGATTGACAAAGTGAGTAGATCTGATGTATAAGATCTATTTAATTTGTTTGATGAAGATGAGAATGGAAAAATATCATTAAATGAATTTAATTCATTGTTAAATTTATGATTTTCGATAAAGAAAAGAATTTTTATTATTATTAATAATTTTGATTCCAAATAATTAATTATGTGAAACACGATAATTAACTATTTTAATTAATGAAATACTATTACGCTTTCTTTATATTTTTCGTTGTTGTATATATCAAATGGGATGATTTGCAAAATCTTAATCAAATCGAGTAAATAAAGGATGTTGAAGAAAAAAATAAAAAATTGGCAGAGTTTGTTGATGGAAGATAAATCCATGATTTAATTTTTCTGTACACTTTGAAAATGATCGATTCTAATCTTAAGACAGCTTATTATACATTGGAGGACACAGTGACGTCACTTTCTAATTTACCAGCTCTGCTTTATAATAGAATAACCAGAGACTCTAGAATTTAAGTCAAAAGTATTCCATCTCAAATAAACTTTGCCAATTACTTTGGTGGTGCCACCATTCTCACAAAAAGCAAATAATTAGTTGGAGTAGATAATATTCTGGTGGATAATCAAGAAACGTACTTACATTCTGATTTCAATTTAGTTACATGATCACGGAATGCAATCAAGAGAGATTGTTTTTTATCATCTGTTTAAAGGAAGAGATCCAACTAGAGACAATCTACTTTATTAATAAAGAGTTTTATTCCTCAACAATAAAGAATTTCAAGGTATCATTTAAGAATATTCATTTTTCTCAAGGTTTTCGGGAGCATCGTATATCCTACTTAGGCATGGGATTTTTTGTAAGCATTTGAATCAGAGGATGTAAATGATTGGCAAAGCTTTGAATTTGAATCGCATTTTCTTAGATACTTAAAAATTGAGATCATAGATTTTCATCAAGCTGAGTATCATTGCACTCTGACATAAATAAGGTATTTAGGTTACGATATCACATTTAGAGTTTTTGGATAAACAGTTATTGGAGATCTTATACAATCTCACAAAAGATATAAATTACAATTGCCTAAAATTGAACCAATTAAGGAGGAAATTAAATAGCCGCAACGAATTAAGATGCCATGTAGTGAGATAATCAGCACTTACTCAAGTACTAATAATTCTACATGCAGCTACTTCGATTACATATTTGATACACAATAGTCTCGTATTGATGAGATTGAGAATCAGAATCAATATTTGGATGTGATTCCTTTCGAATCTAATTAATCCTTATTTAAAGTGACTGCTTAAAACATAGTTATTTTATCGCATAATCTTCAATTGTTGAAAGAATAACTGTAATCTATCCGTAATCACAAGATGAAGGAGAAATAAAATTAAAAATAACATGATTACATTTAATAGTAATTATTATATGAACTCAGTCAATAACAAAGCATCAATAAGAATTTAGAGGAATAAATCAAAAAATTATATATTCTTACTGATATTTGTGTAATATTAATATGTATTATCTTAATTATGGGAATTTGCTGGATTTTGAGAAACAAGTAAAACCACCATAATAACAACAGAAATCAATAGATTGTTATCTAAAATCAGAAGAATATCCCTGATATTACTACATTGACTCCAATTTTGGTGAATGGGTATTCGACCAATAATGATGAGAATTGTCATCACATAGTGAAGAGTTAGAGCAATAATAACAATCAGAGAAACAAGAAAAAGAGCAATTTTGTTAATTGATTTATTTTATTACTATTTTATTTAAAGAATTAAAATATTTAATTCATAAATAATTAATGTTCCCTAGTAAATTGTATGATTTACAATTAACTCCTTCGCTAAATAAGTTTAATTCTGATTTTTAAAGTGCTAAATTGATTGAGTCATTTAGACAACTATTGATTGAGGACGATAAGGAAATAGTCACATCCGCTATGGTATAGTGCTTAAATCAAAAAGTTAGGATCTAATGAAAGCAATTTCGTATTCTCTGTATGGCACATGGTTTTATTGGAAAGCTCTGAGCGATATTTGTCAAGGGGACGATCTCAACACCATAAGTTAATAATTGGAGAGAAAAATCATTATTTATGATATTTGTGAAGTTGAAGATTTGAAATGCCAGGTGATTAATTTTGGGTACAAGAAACGCATATATTTGGCTCGATATTTAAATTACTTTTATGTGGTGGGCAAAAAGGGCACATCTGAAAAGCATAAGCTGGTAAAGGATATCTTGATGGATGTGATCAATGAGATAATAGGGTTGCCAATTAGAAGACATAAACGATCTTATTCTGATGCTTTAAAGTATCTTTCAGATTAAAAGGATAACCGAACGAACAAGTTGAATATAAAAAATGTGCCTCTGTCTCCCTCAAACATATCACGAACAAGTTTACAAATGCAATTGTTGGATGAGGTCAATCAAGAGAGTGATCTTCTCTTGAAGGAATGCAATTCGTTGATTAATACTCCAACAACTTAGAATGATCTTTTGCAATCACTTAATTTAAATTTACAAGAAGGCACTAATATATTGTCTAATGTAAATGTATTAAAATCATGTATAGATCAGGTATTTTGGGACTCTGAAGTTTTATGACGAAGCAAGATCTTATGGCTTCATAATAATGGACATGGATGGAAGTGATTTGTTTGTTCATTGTGATGATCTGACTAAAGCAGGCATGTCGAAGGACTTCTTGAGAACAGCTAAGCATGGAAATATAATTAGATTTTCCTTTCTTATTCTTGAATACTTTGGAAAATACAACAAAAGTAGAAAAGCAGTCGATTTGCAGTTTATTCAAGGTCAACCATATTTCATGTGATATTTATATGTATATTTTACTAATATAAGTTAAATATAAAATATATAATCATAACTTCTTATTTCTGAGTTTGCTCAATTTTTAGCTGCCATTCTTATCAAAAATGTATAAACTAATAGCAATGATGCAGTTGAAAAAACTGACGCCGACAAAGAAGTAAGATTAGTAGACATAACTAAATCTATAAACAATAATAGAGTACCCTTCAAAAGGATCTAATTGTCCGTATTCATTGATCACATGTCCATTGTAAATGCTCCCAGTAATCAGTGGAAAGAGAGCCAAGGCAGTATTTTACATAACTCCCAACAGACCAAAGGCAGTTCCTTAAAATAGCCTTAAAAATAGTACCGATCATTTGAGGTTTGACAACTAAGGGAATGGAGGGAATAAGGATGGCTGAATAAAATGAGTAACATAATCCAAGTGATAGCAAGGGTAAGGCTGAGACTCCACAAGCACTCTAAAATAATAGCTATGTATATGTACATCACAGTGAATTAGGAGTAAGCATAAATGAGTAACTATGAAAATAACCGTTGTGAGAACTATGAGCAACGATCTCTATCTAATCTTGTCTGAGTAGATGCCTATGATTGGAGTAACAAGGGCAGCGAATACATAGGGAATAGTTAATAACACACCTGCTGATTATTGGCTAAATCCAAATTTGACTTAAAAAAATGCGTTACCATTATCTAAAAAGGGCACAAACAGTGCTTCACTCAACATAATGATGGATGATAGAATCCAATAGGATCCATCTAGATTTTTTAAATCTGATATTTTGATTTCTTCCTTTGCATCATGGACATTGTGATTCTATTCATCATCATCCTCATTATCCTCTTCTTCATTATCTTAAAGAAAGGATTCAGAATAATCACTGCTCTCAACAGATGAATTATGAGTATGATTATGATTTCCATTTGTCCTCAATTGTAAACTCAATTCTTGTGATTAGGTATCAGATGATACACTTTTCTCTTTAACAGGTGATAAGACCTAGGGATTTGATTTCTTATATTCTTCCATAAGATGTTCATTCTTCTTATCCAAGTAAATCAAAAATAAACCGCACCCCCAAGAAAATAATACAATAAATAATCCAACCAAAAATGTAAAACCAAGTTCATTATGGTTTGCTTATATGATGGGACTTACGAAAGAGTTCAGTGCACTTCCCAATTTGGGTATGGATAGACACAATCCCAGAGCCAAACTGACCATTCCACCTTCAAACCATTTAGACATGATGGCAGCTTGGGCAGCATTTAGACTCTCAGATCCAATCCCGAATATGCATCTCCCTGCCAAAAGTGTTCCATAAGAAAGTGTGTATCCTCCTATGACCACAATGCCTTGTCCAAAGATCAAGATGGTAGAAAATATAAATATACTGACTCTGACTCCTATTTTATCTATTAGGATTCCTCCAAAAAAAGGAAGGATTATGTTTGGAGCAGAATAGATGGAATACAACATGTTGAATTATACATTGTTTAGTCCCATTTGAGTTTGGATGGTGGATTACAAAGCCATTGGATTGTCAAAGGCGTAAGCATCTCCAAATAGTAAAAAGCAGGCCAATGCTAGGGCCAACCATAAAACCCAGGTTTTTTAGAATGGTTATTTAGCGATGTATGATTATTTGATGGTAATGACTTCTTCATTTGATTAATTCATTAATTCTTAAATTTATTAAAATTTAATTACATTTTTAATAATAATAAAAATATATACTTGTTATATATTCTGTAAATTCAGATTAGTTATCAGTTATCATTCAATTATCAATCCCTATTCTGACTCAACAATTAGTTTTATGGTATTCTCATCTAATTACTCCCACTTTAACTCTTATTTGTTCAAGATCTTTGTAATCTACAAATTCAACACAGTTTCTCTGTTCTATAAAATAAATATATTAATAATTAATTTTACTTCATTTGTGTGATTTATCAAAAATGTAAACTTTCCCCTTTTGATCTGCAAAACTGAATCCACTTCATTTACTTCAGCAACCTCATTTTCCAACCAACCACACTGTTGTTCAATCAATAAAAATTAATCATCCTAGACCTCCTAAATTAACCCCTACATTTAATATAATTCTTACAGAACCAATAGCCAATGCATTTAAAATTTGAGCTTGAGTGTACACTCCTGTGTTTTCGAAGAGTGTCTTCGGTAATAATTACTTGTGTTGCAGTTTAGAGAGTCTGAAATCAAAACCCAAACCTCCTTCTTTGATTGTTCTGCAAAGTGCTGGGTAGTCCAAGTCTTAGATTATACTGATACCGTTTGGCAACAAATCATGGATCAAATCATTGGCCAACATCAAATAGACAGTGGCATCAATGTCGTCTGATACATCAATATTAGAGAATTTGAATCCGTCTATTTGATATTCGGAAATCCAAAAAGATATGTTGGATAACAATAATCTCAAAACTTCCCATTTTCCATAGTCCAATTGTTCGATTTCCTCCCTCAAGTATTGATATCCTGTGCCATCCCAATTATTCAAGTATTTTCCTATTAATTCATGATCAATCTCCATTATGACTGAAAATCCCTTCTAATGAAGAACATCGATGTTTCTTTTCAAATCGTCAGGTGTTATTAAATTTACGTCCAGTTACATTAGTAATTATTGAGTAATCATTATGGTGTTATATCCATTAACTCCCTGCAATTCTGTTATCTTTTGCTTTATCACCTTCAGACCTTTGCTCTATTGTTTCTGTTGCATCTGCTGTGCTTGAAATTCGTATCTGTTGTCTGGATTCCAAAATATCGCTTACTCTCCCATCTTAACACTACTCCAGACTGAAGCTCTTTCGAGTTCATTGCAATAGGTGATCAGTTTGCTCCCATGTTGGATTTGATGATTGTCATCGTCATCCTTTGGGATAAACACTTCCCAGTTTCCACCATTGTCAGTCGTACAACCATATTCATTCAATTTCAATTCCTTTGCATTTGGTGCCCACTCTCTATAAGTGATTCCTGTGTCAGATACAATAAATCCGTATTTTTAATACCTACATTAACATCCAATACTACCCCTTGGCGAATTCCTTGATTGACGATTCCACTTTGATTATTTACTCCAAAACCTAAAAAAACTTCTCATTCCTATTCTGAATCACCTCTTTCAACTCAGGCTCCTCGATCACGGTTTGCAATTGATCGACATTCTTCTCATACTTTTGCATGAATTCCTCATTCTCAAACACCGATTGCTATTATTAAACACAACACTCATACCTAATAAAACAAAGAATTCTTCTTAGACAACTTTCTGTTGGGAACCTTCCTCGAAAGAGCAGTGCCTTAATCAATATAATTCATTTTTATTATTATATATAAATATATAATTCCGAATATCATAGATTAATTTGCACCCCTCCCTTATCAGTAAGAGAAGTGCACCCACATAAACATTGATAATTTTATACAAAATTGAAATCTACCCAAAAAAAAACTGAATAAAGAATGTTAAACAAATATAAAGAATATATATTTAGATATTTAAATCAAAGTGTTAATACAAAATAATTGTATATCAAAATTCAATCCGATCTCTGCGTATTCATTTTGGTTCTGTGAGATATGTACTGTTTAAAGATACGACTTCTCATATAAGAAGCAGTTGGAGATGGTTAATCAATTTTTGGGTGGCCATAAAGTAAAATAATCTTTTTCTTCCCTCTTTTTGAGAAATCATTAATCCTGTGAGGCGAGTGCCCTTAATAATTTTTTCTTTCATTTTCCTAATTTATCATTTTACCATTATTTGATAAAATACTGTCCTAATTATCCCACCCCTGAACGGTATTAGAGAATTCATATATCTCCTTAGACGTTCCCCATGAGATCTCCTCGACTATTAGGACATCAAGACCCAGCTCATCATCGGAATTATGATTACTGTTTATCTTAATGCGGTTTATGTGAGATATTTTGGCTTTCTCCATCACTATTAAATTATTGATTGATCAAATAAATAAATATATTCACAATCTATTCCATGCACTCTCCATCCTGCTCAAATGACAGATTCAAATCAAACAATTTACGCTGTTGAAAATAAATTTGAAATTGATAATTATTTTCATAGATAATATTTACTTAATTGCTTAATTGAATAAACTTATGTTAGTAAAATCTATCTGAATACATTCATCTTACTGCATCACTTTCCATCAATTCTGATCGCCATATCAACCCTATTATTTATTTTCGCAATAATTTCCCCCCTCTCCCTCTCAATACCAATCGTTACTAACCTTATTATAAATTCAAGCATCCTCTTTTGATGTACCCGTATAAATACCAAAAGAGAATGAGTTATTATCTCATTAACTCTTTTAGAATCAAAATTCAATGCAACTAAATAGGAGAACTCGATTAGAAAGTCTGTTCAAATATAATACATATATTTTCAAAACATCTCATAGTGTTTTCAAGCAGCAGCATAATATTGTAATAAAGAAATATTTTAATTTGAGGTTTGCACTCTTAAAAATTCTTAACCTAAATTCTCATACTGATTTTATTTTCTTTTATATATAACTTATTCTTAACTAATACTTTTTCCTTTGTATTATAAATATAAGTGATCCATTACCAAACCATTATTAGTCACTTTTAACACTTCTATGGTGAATAAGGATTGTTGATTTAGCATCTCAAATGAATTAATGTTGTTCATTTGAATTTTCATTTGAATTCTTCTAGATGTCTTCCTTTGAGTTATAATATCATCATTATCATCAATTAAGTTTATCGTTGAATGTATTTCACTCTCTACTGAGACTCATAGTTGTACTAGATCAAAATCAACTAAGCATTTGAATTTTACTCTACATTTATTTGCTCTCATCGTTTTTCTCCTTCTGGGAGTTAGGCGAACACTAAAGAATTATTAGATATAGAGTGACGATCAAAAAGACAAGGTGTTAACTTTAAAAAAAAATATTCAATTGATTACAAACAGGAATACAAATGTTACTTAAAAATATCTATCTGAATTGTTATGCGAGTAGATCAAAATATAGAGAAAATCTGAAGATTCTCGAGACTTTAGAAGGATATTCACATTAATTTCCCATAATTTTTAAGTTAATCTCTTGTAGATCGAGATGTTTTTTGGTGTTAGATTTATTATATAAATATTTAGACTAATACAATAATTAAATTTAAATAAAATGTAATAATAGATTTATTTCATTCTTTACTTATAAAAATAGATTATCCTAATTAGTGTATGTGTTAGATTAAGACTATTCTATACAGGACTTTTCACGAATCAGAAAATACATAAGTTAGATAAAACCATATTACTTTCTTAAAATTGATCATAAGATCTCTTGACTCTATTTGAAGAATCAATAAGAGATGAAGGTTAAGAATTTGTAAAAATAGTTTGACTATTATTTTGATTAATAATTATGGTTTATAAAATTAGAAATAAATCATTCTTTTGGACTAGAGCAGGATGGAAGAATAATTGGCATCCTAAAAACTTTAATGCTCCTCGTCCTTCCAGTTCAGAGTTTACAATTGGTATTAGATGCAGATATGATCATAACTCATTTTTAAGAGGTTTTGCAATTTTGTTAAATTAAAATAGCTTATCACTCATATAGGAAGATTTCAAGACATTGCAAACAATATTTCTTTGGCAACAGAGAATTAGAAGAATTATTTCAAATGGGTTTGAGGACTTTCTTCATCGTTCCACATATTGCTGAATGTCAAGTCACATAAATTAAACATGGTGGTGAAAGAAGAATGGTTGATTAGATAGATAGAGACTTTGAGTTAGTGTCTTACAACTCGCACCCTTATTAATTATTCACCTACTCTGTTTGGAATCAATATTTAGCAAATCAATAAGAAGCCTATGAATAAAGAAAGAATGGAGGTAAAGCAATCGAAGATTAAGTTATTGATCACATTAGGTAAGTATAGATTTATAGCCTATAGCGAATTAGTGAAAGATGAGAAGAGCAAATTGGGTCCTGGAAAATAATTAAGTATAGAGAGGACTGCTGAAATCGTGATGAACGTCATGAGATAATTAAGAGCTGCATAGCAAAGACCAAATTTAAATAATAGGTAAATGGTTGAATTCAAATAATTATAGACGAGCAGATGGAGAATTTGATGATTTCTTAGAATAAAGAAGACCTTTCACGGCCCCCAACAATCAATCAGCAACTCATTGAGTAATAATATGTATAGCAAAATCAATTAAAATTAAACATATCATTTATTAGGTTATTTGATTAATCGATAGCAGTGTTACGTCTCAATCTCTTTTTATATTTCTTTTAATCTTCTTTCTCATCCTCATCTGATTCTTCGTTGATAAAATTGTTAACAGATTCATTTTAGTTTTTCTTAATTGTACTAATATATTTCTTCTTCTTATTTTGAACTTCTTTCTGATTGACGTTGTCTTCATTGTTTTCTTTATTCAAATCGCTAGATCTCTTATTGTTCTTCTTAATGTTCATTTTATTATTGAAAAGAAAAGTGAAAACCAATTCTTCAAGACTAATTATTTTTTCTTGTAGCTCTTCGAATTACTTTTCAATCAATTCTGATTTATCGGATTTTAGTTCGACTTCTCTAACAGTTTACTTGATAACCAGTGTTTATTTTTGAACTTTCCAAAATAAGTCCTAGATATCTGATGCCTCACAATCAATCATCTAAATCACAGATTACAATTTGGTTATTTGTTATGTTTTCTCTTGGAGATCCTTTTTCACTTAAACTAATTGTTATTGCACTAAAAATCATAAAATAATTTTACAATCCGAAGAAAATTTCAAGGCTTCTTAACATTATTCTTTTAATTTCTGCATTTGTATATAATTATATAATTATATATATATTATTTTGGACATTCAATTTTATAACGCTTCTTATGCATAAAATTTAACATCTCTATCTGGGTCTTCGATTAATTCATTAATTGCTCTATGAAATATTTAATTCGAAAATACTATTTAATTTGATTCAAAGTTTATTAGTTATCAATTTTCTTTGACAAAGATTTAGCAACCCTAATGCTGACAAATCTTATATTGGGAACAGTGTCTTTCAAGCACTTCTATACGATGGGCCACAATCTATCCTGAGCAACAGGGCCATCAACGGCAAAAGAAATTTGTTGGATTGCATAAAGCGCATTGATTCGATACAGTGATCCAACATCCTTAGATAAGGTTTCCACACATTTGGATAAGAAGTTGCCCACAGCCCACTCTTACTTGTAAGTAGCAATCAAAGCAGGCAATTAGCTTAATCCCATAGATCTCACTTCAGCTGCTCTATCTTTTAAAAACATTACAAAAACTGATTCCAATTGCTTATTAAAGACATCAGGATTCTTGACAGTCCTTAAAACATAAATATTGAAAATTGTACAAGGCCAATTAAATGATAGTTTGCATAGTCTCCTTTCTAACTCTCCATTTTGGATCATCCATACATTTTTTGAGGAAAGGCACAAATTGATTTAAAGCCTCTGGACCAATGGCAGCTGCAAATTGTCCTGCTGATTTGGCTGCGTTTCGTCTTACATCCTAATTGTCATCTGCCATTAAATCAATTAAGTATTGTTATAATTTGCTTTGACTGTATTCTTTTGGCAAAAGTGAAGCAATTTGACCAATGACTTCGCATGCATTTTCTATAATTCGCAATATTCAATACATTTAACTTATGAGAATGGATCCTTCGATAAGAGTTACAAAAGTGGAACTATCAAATTTAATTTTTCTGGTGACACAAATTTGATGAATCTAGCCAAACTTTTAACTGCAATTACTCTGACATCACATTCTGTGTCTTTTAACAAATTAGAGAATATCTAAATAAGTGAGGAATCTGCAATTTCCTTGCCCACAGCTTCTGCTAACTAATTGAATATCAATTATTATTTTACATCTGCAAATATTTTAGACAATGCCAATCTCACTCTCCATGATTTATCTTCAGCTGATTAAATAATAAGAGGTAGAATATTGGTCTTATTCTCCCCGCTATTTAAAATCTTTGCAATATTCATTAAACTTTCCATGCACAATAATCTAACTTAATCCTATTCATCTTGGCAAAGTTGCTTTAAAACAGGAATCAAATCCTGAATCACATGGATCTTATCCATAAATTAAGCAATTTCCCCAATTTTAGTAGCCACTGCTCTTCTTACCATAGGTGTTTCCTCGCTGCATAACTCAGTAAACTTTCTAATTAATATTTAAATTTGAATTACTATCTGATTTTCTCCTTCTGATTGCCTGCTCTGGCATACAATGGACACATCAAACTGACTGCGGATACACGACATGTAAAATTAGTATCATTTGAAGCTAATCTAATAATCTATAAAATATGTTAAACAAAAAGTTACCATGGGTACAATAGTGTTGGCTATTTCGTTGTCTCCCAAAAATCCACATACTATTGTGATGGATCTCACGGCTTGTTCTCTTACAACGGTTTCGTCAAAGCCTGCCAATTATTCAAGCAATGCCAAGAGGCATGATGATTAATTTGGGATGATTTAACTAATTATAAGCAAATATCATTACGCAATATTTCCCAATTCTTCAGCCAATGCAAAAAGTACTTCATCGTCTTCTTTCTTTAACAGAGCTAGTTTAAATCATTTCTATTACTTTCAAAATATGGTATTAATTATGACTTTATTTTATCACTACCCAACAAAGTGGCTACAACTCTCACTCTATGCATTGCATTTACTTTTAAATAAACTTCTTCATTTTCCATGTCTTCTTTTAAGACCTCAAATGGATTTTCGCTCATAATTAAATAAGATTTATATATAACAAAGAAATTATTTCTCACATATGAAAGAAAATTAATGAAATCAAATATAAATGTAATCTGTACATTCTATTTTAAAATTACAATAGATATAATTTATTTATAATGATGTTTCAGATTTCAATTCTTCATTTGACAATCCATAATTCATATAAATAAAATGTAGTAATAAATAATATTAGGTTCTATAGTGTGCTGTGCTTCATTTCTCTTGATTATATTAATTATTGGATGGGACGTTGTGGAAGTCACCAATTGGGGATTAAAGTGTAATTCCCTCAGCAAATAATGCGACAAACAAATATATGCTCCAGGGAGATATTTGGTGGGGCCCTTCAATTCCTTCTTTAACTTTCCTGGCAGCAGATAAACTATCGAATTTTCAGATGACAAACGAGCTCAAAGTCAACCTCTTAAAACAAGAACTGCTGAAGGCCTGACCCTTAGTTTACATGTCTCATTTCAATACCAACTTATTAAAAATGAAATTGCATCACTATATGCCTTGAATGGACTCAACTACGAAGCTACCTTTATTAGAATGGCAAGAGACACCATCCTCTAAGCGGCAGGCAAATTTGAAGCTCCCAAATATTGGACCAACAGGAGAAACATAACACATGTTATGCAAAATCAATTGTAGGATGAATTGAAAAAGGCTCATGCTAATTGTGTATCATTACAAATATTGGATATTGACTTGCCTGATTAATATGAAAATTCAATCGTACAAACTTAGATTGAAGTGCAAAAGAAGACCATGAAATAATTTGAATAGAGAGCATAGATGATTTTAAATGATATCCTTGTGATGAGGGCTGAAAACGACTAAGAAATCTTTGCCATTCATGCCCAAGCACAGGCAGATGCATTTACTATTACATAATCAGCATAGGCAAAAGCAAATAAATTATTATTGGAAGCTGAATCCAAAGGTTATGAAATGATTTAAAAGAACCTCGACCTTAGTTAAGAAGAATTTAATCAATATTTATTTTGGAATTCTGTATTAAAATAAAAAAAAGCTAAATTAGTATTCAATCCTAACACTGTATTAACTTATAATATGAATCATAATTGAATAAATCATTTACATTGATATATGTATTCATAATTAGTAGTTGATTAATTCTCTTAAACGAAGATTCTCTCGATTAAATATTCTAACATCCTCCACTTGATTGGCTTTTATAAGGTACTCTGCCAAATACTTCAACTCTTCATCTTTTTCATCAGAATTCCACTCAAGTATTGGTATTCCATTGTCAATCTATAATCCAAAACTATGAGCCAAATTGTCAACAATTATTGTGGAACTTAAATCGATATCTTTGAGAGTTCTTAAGTCCTTAATAAAGAAACCATTTTTAGTTTCCATGCAATGATTCCTTGAAAAGATTCCGATTATTTTAGTTTAATCTGGATCCAAATAATCTACAACAATACTTGCATATGAAGGTGACGATGCTGTGAATACGAAAATTGAATATACTTACGATAATTTATTTAAAAAGTAATTTGTATAGGGTCTTACATTAAAACTTATTTAATTAATGTTAACTTAGGCTTACTCTTTACTACTACAACAATGTATGAGAGTTTCATCTAAATCTAAAAGAAGAACTTTTGATTTGTTTTCTTCTTTTGGAACTTCAACTTGTCGAGATTTGATAAATTAATCACTGGGTCCTTTCAAACATTTAGTTGCATAGATTAAACCTCTTTAAGTCAATAAGAGATGCTTCTTAAGGGTAGTTTCTGAAACGGATTCTCCAAATATTAAATGTCTAAAGGGGTGATTTTTTACGGAGACTTCGTATTATTTTTATGTTTTCAATTCAGCATCGGAATGAGTTTACTTATTTTACAACACATTCTTGGCTGTGTTTGTGAAGAGTTATTAGATTGTGGAGGGTTTAGGTTTGAATTTTGATTGTTAAGGTTTTGATGGGGTCTTAGCTGAGGGAGTTATTGGAGTGCCACAGTCAGAATCATCAGTTTAAAACTCTTATTTATGTTTGACGGAGTTGATTGAATGAGGTGTAGTGCTTTCTCCATCATCAGAATAAAATTGAGATTTCTTGCTTGGCTTAGTCAATGTTAATTTATGAGTATTGTAATGTGGTTTGGAATTCATTTTTAAAGTGTAGATATGTAAATATTTAATTATATATGTCAAAATAAAATACTTATTAAATTTGAGATCACAAACATTTAATTGGAAATATCTATGCTACATTATCGGTATTTTTTGTTAGAGATTGATGTTGTTAATTTTTATAAATTCAATGATAACTAAGATGATAACCAAATGTTATTTGAATGTTCAAATATTTAAGACTTTAAATAAATAATTTATTAAATTGAATATTATATATTGTAAATGTTTCTAGCTCTAGAACTTTACATCGATCATTCTTGATGTGTATAGACTTCATAAAATTTTCATTTTATGAAATGTAATTATCTTTAAATTAAACAATTAATCAAATTCCATCCTATTCATTTTAAGAATGGACATTGTTCTCTTGATGAATTTCAGTCATTTCAAATACAATTGAATCGTTGACCTTTGAATGAGGTCTCTCTTCAGTCAGATTAAATACATCAGCTGCTTTTCTAACACCAATCTGCTTTCCAAAATCCTCCCACTACTTATTCTCTCTATAGAAAACATTCTGATTATAAATTAAAAAATACGCCGCAAACGTAGAGAATCTAATATAGATAATATATCATACAAAACTCCCCAAAATGCCCCCACAATTGAAATCATACCAAATGAAGTTTAGTAAGTCAAAACAGAGATCTATTAGGTCTAAAATTAATTTAATTTTTATTACTAATTCTGATCGAAATCCTATTTAATATGCATTATCACTACTATAAACAGTGACATTTGTTATCCAACTGTTTATTTTTTCTGTACTTAAAAATAATCTAACATCATCTGACCATCTTCTCAAGTAATCCGGTTTGATTGTATATTTCTCGAGTTAAAAGAATATTTCAGTTCTGGGATATAACCCAGGCATTAGAAAGTATTAATAAGTAGAATAGGGCACACTCTCTACCGACTTTCCAGTTGTAAGATCAAAGTTTGGTGAATTGTCCCTAACGTATAATAAAATTCTCCCACTAGAAAAATATGATGCACAATCTATACCCTGCCGTAATCTAATCAATTTCCTGCTAACTTACACAAGCCTATCCGTTCCCTGTGGTACAGTATGTCACTTAAATTCTAGGATAAGTAAATTCCGGAGTTTGGTAGAGTGCTCCAGACATGTTTGCGGACTCGCTTGAAATTAAGATATGTATTCTACTTTGGGCAAAGAAGTGTGAAATTAGATGTAGGAATCCAATCAGGATTGCAAGATTTCAAAGGTATTTATGTTTTTATATCTTTCTTTGAGACATCTTGAAATTTAGTAACTTAAACCATTTGAAAGTAAAATATAGAAGGGTCATTAATAGTTTTTGAAAACCTTAAATATAAATTAAACTAAATTATACGGATCGCCATAGAAGTATCCAAAAGCTATATCAGGTAAAGTGATATTTGCAGTCTCCAATATTTCTTCATACTAATTTACTGTAGGACTATTGTTGGTAACAAATGCTTGAATTAGAATCTCAATGCGTACCAACGAAAGTATAGAGAAAATAGGCTAAAAAGCATCCTATCATCAAAAGACTTCCATATAAGCTTCTTTTAGAAGAGACCATTTCAGTTTTAGGAACGGGCATAAATTAGAAAAGATCAAGCGAAGCTATCAATCTTCTTTTCATTGTCACAACTCCTTTTGATTCTTCTTCATTTTCTTCTTTCTTTTGATTTTCTACCACATTATTTCCAACTTACATTATTTTAATATTATTTGGCTAAATGCAATTCTATCATTTAAATGTGTTATTAAAATTTTAATATCTAAATGGGAAATATCAAATTTCACAAGAAAGTAATAAATAATAACTCATTTATTAATAACTGTATGTTAATTTAAACAAAAAAATTTCAAAATTGATAAAGATTGATTCATATCTACCTTCTTTTGTAAAGTAAATTGATAAGCTGCAATTTAAGCTTGTAGATATCCTTATCCACAACATTACAACTTATTAATTAGTTCACATCTTAATTATGAAAGCACTTTAACATTTCAAGAATCTGTTGAACATTTTCATTACTATCAACTTTACTCAACATTTCTCTTAAGCCCTCATAACAAGTTTACTTTTGACACTAGACCAACAAAGATATTGGGTTGATGTGAATTGATTCGTCATGATATTATACTATGTCATCTATTTTAGATATTATTTAATACTGCTTGAGAATGGTAAGTCCAACTCGATAACCTTAACTGTAAATCTGCACAATGCCCTTATATTAATTTTAAAATTATGATGTATAAATTTTTTGGTCTAATAATTACTTATTTAAATTTACAATAATTCCGAGTTTGAATGTCTCATTAGGCTAGTTATCAACTTGAATTTCATTAATAGGCATCATCAATCCATTCCAGGAACGTTTAACCTTTAGGACAGCCTGTTTTAATTCAATCACTAAAAATATCTATTAGATATATACTAGTTGTATATACAAGAGTTTATTTGTAATACTCATTGTTGTCTAATTCGGAGAAGATCTATTCGCATTTAATGTCTAATAGAGGTTCTTGAATAATTTTTTCATTTATTTTCTTGAAACAACTATTTTAATTCAGACATTGAGAAATGCCGCAAAATGGAGATGATAAGTTTTGAATCTAATAATGATAGAATATCAAATTACTAGTTACAAGCTTTGAAGTTCTTATTTATCAATTTAGTTATTTATGATCGAACATTGTTTAAATTCCGATTTTTGTTATTTTAAGACAGAAAAGCTTTTCACAGGCATTTAATTTGTAATTTAAAACTTTTTTTTTAAAAATATAAACATACATCGATTTGTATTCTATTTATTTGCAGGCTTAACTAAAAAGCCGGGAAAACACATCGATTTCGCAAAAATACTTTTTAGCACAAAAATATCAATATGCTGAAAATTTGTTCCTTTTGAAATCTTTTGCTCTTCATTCTAAAATCTACCAAGTGGTTTAAGAAACACTCTCTTTTATATTTTAAACTTGAATCTATTAAACAATGGTAGATATTTGTAAAATAGGAGTAGTATTCAAAATATATCGGTTGATTATAAATATTATATATAATTTCATTAATAATTATAAGTTCTTTTAGATGATGTGTTTAACCTGCTTATTTTCTTGTCTAAAATGTTGAGGAGTAAGACATAGGAGAACAGTGGAAAGTGAAAAGAAAATAAAGAATATTTTATAAAAAAATTAATGTTTTTAAAATATTGGATTTTATACCCGGCTATTGCAGGATGCTTCATCGGCATAGGACATTTTGCAGCGTTTTACCTATCGAGAGTGTTATTGAATCAAGTCTGGTTTAGAAATAAGTTGAAATACCTAATGATTGATGATGAGTATAAAATTTAATGAATCAATGTTGTGATATCGTATATCAAAATTGCAATAAATTGGATGTCATACAAGGGAGTTATGAAGGCGGTTAGACATTGTGGGAATGCACTTTCGATCTCCTATAATACCCCAAATAACTTGCTGGTCTCGATGTGATAGATATGGGGTGTGGTTTAGGATTGTTGGGAATTTAGGCATTGAAATAAGGAGCCAAAAGTGTTTGTTTCTAGGACTATAACGAAGACACATTCGAGTAAGCAATACTGCCCCAGTTGAAACTGAACAATCTGGAGGAGAACAAGAATTATTCATTTGTGAATGGAGATTGGGAAACACTAAAACTCTAGAAGGTCGACGTTATTTTGGCATCAGAAATCATATACAGAGAAGAATACTATCCTAAGGTGGAAGACTTCATAGCAAATCATCTGAGACCAGATGGGAAATGTATAATGATAAATAAGAGCTATTATTTTGGAGTAGGAGGGTCTGTAGCAGGATTTAAAAGTCATCTTACTAAGTTATAGGTTGTAGAAGAGGAGACAATTAATACAAAAAAAGGAGTCAAGAAAACGATTATGAAATTATAGTTAAAATGAATTATGTGCATAATTAGTGATCTGTTTAGTTTTTGAGTTATTTTCTTATATGATGGAATTGGGTCTAGAAAAAACATGAATTGGTATAAAAAAGCAAATGTAAATACTTGAATGATGAAATTTTATTAAATTTTAAATATAAAAAATTGTGATTTATAATGCCACAACACGATTACATTGAGCTTCACCAGAAAAGGTTTGGAAAAAGACTGGATACAGAAGAAAGAGCAAGAAAAAAGGCAGCCAGACAACCTCATGAATTAGCAGAGAAAGCATAAAATCTTAAGGGTCTCAAAGTAAATATATGAAAATAATTCAAAGGCCAAAATGTTTAACAAGGAGAGATTTAAGGAGAAGGCACTCATGAAGAAATAAATGCTAGCACATGAAGAGAAAGATATTGAAGTCAATGTTGAGGATGTAAAAGATGGAGCAGTCCCCACATATTTATTGGATAGAGAGTAATAACAATAATCGAAGGTGTTGACAAACATGCTTAAACAAAAAAGGTAGACTCTTTTATTAAATGACTTAGATAAGAGAAGGCAGGCAAATGGGATGTTCCTATTGCAAAGGTTAAATAGATGTCTGAGGGAGAAATGTTTTAGGTTATCGAAAGTGGAAAGAGAAAATAGAAGTCTTGGAAAAGGAGAATAAACAAGGTATGTTTTGTTCCTGAGACATTTACTCGTAAACCTCCCAAGTTTGAAAGGTATATTAGACCAACGGGACTTCGTTTTAAGAAGGCTAATGTGACTCATCCTGAACTCAAAACTACTTTTAGCTTGCCTTTATTGGGAGTTAAGAAAAATCCGTAATCTGCCTTATATACTACACTTGGTGTCATCACTAAAGGAACAGTTGTCGAAGTCAATGTGAGTGAATTAGGTCTAGTAACTCAAACTGGTAAAGTTATTTGGAGCAAGTATGCTCAAGTAACAAACAATCCCGAATTGGATGGATGTATTAATGCTACGTTGCTTGTTTGATTTTTAAAAGTTCATATAATTATCTATTATAATAAATAATGTTATTAACTGAGTCTAAGAATTGGATGGGTTCTCCTCTTTACTAAGGAGTATAAATTCTTTAGGAGCATTATAAATATAAATAATTATTTTAATGAGCAAGAACAAACCAAAGCCAACAGATGCTAAACCATAGTTATCAAGTATTCTTCTCTCATTTATCATCCATAGAAGCTGAATTGGAGGCACAAAATAAGGCTAAATAGGTTAACGATGTTGAGAATGAAGCGTATAAGGTATAATAAAATTGAAACTTCTCTAGAAATAAATGAGAGAAGAAATCAGATTGCTTAAAACAGACATAGATGCAGAAGAGAAATTGCTTTCTTAATATCAATAGGAAAGAGAGAAGATAAATTACAACTGGATTATTGCTAAGAAGGAATTGGATGATAAGAAAAGTGACTTCATTAACAAGGAAAGAGAAATTCAGGATCTGAAAGAGAATCACTTCATGCAATTGAATCTTTATAAATAAAAGTATAAGTTGTTTTAGATTTTAGAATTAAGCATCTGTTATTTTAAAATCAGGATTAGCAAAGTGATCTAAGGAAGGATGTAGAAGTCACTTTAAAATAATTAGAAGATGATCATAGAATGAAGGATAGAGAATTGAAGACAGATATTCGATCTTTGAAGGTTCAATAGAAAGAAGCTGATTTGGCTTAAAATGATTACATGTTTGCGCTTAAAACTGAATACGATAGACAAGCTACTCAATTAAGGTAGAATTTTGAAAGATAGGCAAATGATTTAAAGGAGAAGTATCATTTAAAAATGGAGAAATTGAGAAGAGAAATGGAGGAGGCTAGAAATAATCTCATTAAAATTCTGCAAGAGAAAAAGGATCTAAGGATACAATAATTGACTAAGGAACATTCTAAAAAATACACTGAAATTAAGAATTACTATTCTGATATCACTGCTACTAATTTGGATATGATTAAGAGTTTAAAAAACGAGATTACAGATCATCAAAAAAAAGAAGAGAAGGATAAAAAGCTATTGTAATCAATTGAAAATGAGTCTAAGAATTTAAATGAGCCACTCAAGGCAATTAAAGAGGAAATTAAATTTTTAATTAAAGAGAAGGAAGAACAAGCTTAAGTTGTTCAACAAAAGGAACAATTGAAACTAAAGATAGATGAACTTGAGAAGAAGTTTAGAAATTTAGAATATGAATATGAAGTCAAATTATAGCATTTCCAATATATGGAGAGAGAAAAGAAATCACTTGAGGATAAATTTAATTCAACAATTTAATCGATCTAATAAAAAACTGGCCTATAAGTACAAATTATATTTAATAATATGCTAGAATCTTATCTTGGAGAAGAAAACTTCTGCCATCTAAGAGGAACTGGAAATCAAGGAATTGCAATTGAATTAAGTCTTACAAGGGCAAAATATTGATCAGAATTCCATAAGTAACTTTTTACATCTTACTCTAGATATCATTACAAGGTAGTATCAGGAAATTGATGTTCAAAAATCAGCATAAATTGCTGAATTACAATAATAATTAACGTAAATAAGAAAGGCCCATTCTCATATGGTTAAGGCTTACGATGGTAAATTAGCTGAATTTGTAATTCCTGTGGAAGAACTTGGATTCGATCCATTGGTGCCAACTTTTACGGAATGAGTCGCAAATATTACATTCAGTTATTTTATATGATGTCGAAAATAATTTTGCTATTATACCATAAATTATGTTAAAAAATAAACCTATCTTATGCACTGAGGAGCCTGTAGAGGAGGATCAAATGTTTGTATAGGCTTTTCAGGTTGAGCAGGAAGTTCCGAATGTTAGTATAAGTATTAGTGATGGAAGTGAAAGCCAGAATGATTCAAAAAAAGTATTCGATATCCCTTAAGTTTTGATTGAACATCATGCTTAAGAGAAATAGAGAGAAGAGGATATGTAGAAGCAATCAGAGCCCAAAAAGGGTTTTGCAAAATTAGTGTAGCTGTTTCATATGAGATAATTCATCCATTAAATTCTTGCCAAAAGAAGATTGATTTCAAAAATAACTAAATACCATTTGTAGGTAATAAATGACAAGGCGTCATCTCTGGACGATGTTGGATTTAGAAAATTCGCAATCACAATCAAACCATTAATTTAAAGTTTACAACAGAATACCTAAACTCACTTAGGGAATCAACAGTAAAAATTCAAATATTAATAATTTTAGAAGAAGATAATTGCTTATGCAAAGAACGAAAATATTTATTGGAAGTTAAGTATAAAGATTTTGTAAGCTCATCCACAAAATCCCATTAATTAAACCAGATTCCAAGATGAAGGTTGTTTGGGATGGCATTTTATTTGTTTGTCGATTTTATTTGCTTTTTACAATTCCAATAGATTTAGCCTGGCCATCTATTTAATTGTTATTTTATACTTTGGAAGTACCAACTGTCATATGTATAACTCTTTTGATATTGGATTTTTTTGTTTGTTTATTCTAATCATACTATCACCAAGGACAATTGGTAACAGATAGGATGAGTATTTTAAAACATTAGATAAGCAAGGCATATGGATTTGAAATCATAGCAAATATTTTACTAATCGTATTCTATAACATATCTAATCAATATGATTACGGATTTAATGTGTTTGAAAATCCTTACTACATATTTCTGTTTCTCTAATTTGTCTAATATAATAATATTGCATAATTACGATAGTAATTAGAAGATGCATTAAATTTGTCTAGGGAAGCTGCATCTTTGGTGGAACTTTCAAAGTTGTTTGTTTTATTGTTTTTTGTTATACATGTGTTTGCATGTCTATGGTTTTGGGTGGGACTTTACAGTGAAACTTACTTAGGGAGTAGTTGGTTGGAGGCTAAATAGGTTTTAGATAAATCTTTCGCTGATCAATACTTATACTCATTTTACTATTCAACTGTGACTATGTTCACTGTAGGGTATGGTGATATCACTCCGTAGACAAATCCTGAGATGATAGTTTCAGTTATATTCATGTCTGTCTGTAGTGTTCAATTGTCTTATAGTGTGAGCACCGTCAGTTCAATTATTGAATAGATAAGCGGATTCAAGGAGGAGAAGAAAAGAAAGTTCAATATCATCAATAATTACATGCAATAAAAAAATATCAGCTACGAATTACAATTTTAAATAAGAGAGTATTTGAATTATTTTTGGACAATGAAAAGGAACGAGGAGTCAAATGAGGAAAGAGAGATTATAGACGAGTTATCTAGTAGATTAAAATAGAGATTGATTTTTGAAGCCAATTCTAGAATACTTTATAATAGCCCTTTCTTTAAGGATAATTTTTCATTAAATTTTAAAAAAGATTTAGTAAGTAAAATCACATCAATCACTATCGCTCCTGAGAATGTTCTAGACTACACAAAAAAGTCACAAGATGAAAACGGTTTATCGATATTTTTCATTGAACAAGGTTAAATTGAAGTTTTTATTGAAAATGAATAATTAAGTGAACTATCAAGGGTATATATGTTGAAAGAGGGTGAAAGTTTTGGATTCGTAAGTTTCATAACTGGTAATCCAAGTGTTGAGAAATATAAAACCATTGGTTTTACTAAATTATTAATTATAACAAGGAAGGACTTTTTGGATGTAATAAAGGATTACCCTGAAGATTATGAGATATTCTATAGTTTTTATGAAGATTTGACATTTAATCCTGAAAGTGAATTGCTCACTATGGAATGTTTCTCGTGTAAGTCAAAAACTCATAAAGCCATCTCGTGTCCTCTCCTTCACTTTAAACCTGATAGAGAGAGGATTATAAAATCAGCTTAATTTAGTAGAGAATAGTAGAGGAGTAAAGTGAAGAAAAGAAAGGAGAAATGTTATATCAAGGCTACTTTGGGACAGATTATATTAAACGATGTAGCGAAGTAAGTTTAATCAGACAATCAATAATTGACATACATCTATGAAGAATTTGATGAAGAGAAATTGGCCACTCCGAATGTTTAAGTTATTAACAGTTCAGACGAAATATTTGACTTTAAGAACTATCATGAGGATGAAAAAATCTAATTGTTTGAAATTAAGGAAGAACCTTAAAAGTCTCCGATTCCTTAGAAAAAATAATTATTAAGAAAGAAGTAGACACTTCAGGATATAGGGGATATTATGAAATTTAATAATAGATAAAAGGAAACCAAGGAGAAGTTTCGATCTATTGTTAAGAAAGTTAATCTAATGAATGATTTTGTTGATAAGTAAGTTGAAAATTCCAATGACAGGAAGCTTTCGTAGTATAGAGAACATTTAAAAAATATTTAACATCGAAAAAGCAAAATACAACACTTAAAAGATATTTACTCGAATAAAATAATTCATGAGCTGGAATTCTTTGAGCTTAAGTTAAAGATGCTATTAGAAACGGAATTTGATATACTTTTAGATGCATAGAAATCTTATAAATATTTTAAACCCAAGGAAAATCTTTATCAGGTTTTGAGCAGAACCAAAATATCAATGTTATCAAGTACTAATGAGATGCAAATCATAATTTAGTAGAAGACGAAGCAATTAATTAAGTATTTATTTTATCCGTATTTATACATTTAAAAATACGTATACAAATAGAGGCATTCAGATTTTGTGGGAGAACCAAAGAAAAAATAGTACTTTAAAAGAAACAATAGAATATCTCTGGCATTCATTATGTAACAACATTCCTCAATTAAAAAACCTTGATAACCATTATTAATATAAAACAATTTATATCATTGTACTTCTATTAATCTTTTCTAAAGTTTATCTAATTTTATTATAATTAATATGAATTCGATTAAAAATATTGATTTAGAAAATAAGCTCACTGAAAATTCTGAATCATCGCCTTTCAAGTCTCGGAGAACGCTCATTAATAGACAAAACACCGAAACGAGTTTATACTTAAAAAACCTACATAAAAACCTTTAATATATAGAATCCATAAGTGCGAATCAAGAATAGAAGAGAGGATTTAAGATTAAAAAAAGACATGAATATGTAACAAAGTTTATAAAAAATCTTCGATCAACTCAAAATCACTATTCAAAGCTGACGAATTATCACTTCTCCTTGATAGACGATCTAGCAACGTATGATAGCAAGAAAAATCAATCGCTTGCTTTAAGAACAATAGAGAAAATAATATGTTTCTAAAAGTTCATAGAAGTTTCAAGTAATCTGATAAACAAGCTGCCCCTATTTCAGCCTGATTCTCAATACAAAAGCATATGGGATGTGATGACAATTGTGGCTCGACTGTACTTTCTTTATCTGATACCTTTGGATATGGCTTGGATAGAGTAAGAGTTTATCTTTTAACTATTTCAGCCGATATCCTACATCATGCTGATTCTGGTTGTAAGTGATTAAATCCTAGAATTTAATACAGCCTACTATGAGTGCGGCTAAATAGTGAATTCAAGGATACGGATTTTCAAGAACAGCATTTTACGAAACTATAGTACAGAATGGATTTCAACTTTCATATTGATAATCTACACTTTTTTATAATTTGAATATAGAATCCGGATAGACCCTTCTGAGAATGTGGTGCATTTGTCGTTGATGTTGTTCATCATCCATGCGAGCAGAGTAAGATAGACGGTAAAGCATTATGAGTAGAGTTTGAATGTAAACAAGAAGCTATCGTCAATGATACAATTGGGGAAGTTCATTTTGTTTTTGTTTTACTTCTTGCACATATTCGCTTGTTTTTGGTTTTGGGTACAAATTTCGATATTTTAGATAGGCTCCTATAGTTTACAGAACGGAGGAAATAGCTGGGTGAGCATATCTCAGGTGCAAGATCTGGATTGGAATTTGCAATATTTGGAGGCGTTCTACTTTTCGACGGTGACGATGTTCACTGTTGGATATGGGGACGTGGCTCCAGTGTCTAATTTGGAGAAGGCGACTTCAGTATTGTTCATAATGATTACCAGTATTTAATTGCCTTACTCCATCAACACGGTTGGGAAGTTCATAGAGGAGATTACGGCGTACGGGGAGGAGACTATGAAGAAGTTGAGCATAATCAACGCCTACATGGATAAGAGGAAGATTTCTTTTAATTTGCAGATGGAGATTCGGCAATACTTGAATTATTATTGGTAGACGCAGAATCAATAGGATAATGAGGATCAGAAGAAGATAATCAATCAGTTGTCGGAATGTTTGAAGGAAAGATTGATGGGGGAGGCTTATCAGTCGATGTTGAATGATTGTCCTTTGTTTAAGAATCGATTCAGTCAGAGTTTGAAACAATTGCTGGTGAAGAAGGTGAGGAGTGTGATCTACCCACCCGAGTCGTTTATTGATAATGATTAAATATATTTATGCTTTATTGATGAGGGGGAAGTGGAGATCCATTTGGAAATCAATAAGCAATTCCCTGTGGGAAGATAGATGAAGGGACACAGTTTGGGTATCAGCAGTTTTATAACTGGTAAGAGTGCTCCTGAGAGATTCAAGTGTCTATCCTTCACAAAGGTAATGTTGTTAAGTAGAGTTGATTTTTTGAAATGTCTGCATGAATGTCCATAGGATTTCGAGATCTTTTGTGAGATGAGGGATTACTTGACATACAATCCAGGGAAGCAATTGCACCCCATAAATTGTTTTTCATGTGATTCGAATCAGCATAAATTGATTGAGTGTCCTCTGG